TATGTGTATTCTCGTGTCAGATGAGACGAAGGAACGTCAAAAGGCAACCTAACTTGAGGACGTACCCATACGGTTGCTTCAAGCCGCGGCGCTATTGATGAGCGCCGAGCATTGATTACAGCTGAAGCTGAAGCTAGCTTTGGGAGTTGTTGAGCACCCAGGCCTCAGTAGACTTCAAGTCTGAGTCTGCGCGGCAGTGGCGGGAGCAGCCTGGCCAAGTACGGGTCTTGAGGCAACGGAGTTGTGGCGCGGGATGTCCCGGTGTTTCAAATTTCTATATGCGCCTAAGTCAAGCCTAACTTCAAAGTTTCCGCTAGCGCTGTAGCCTCAGGCTGACGGTTTATCTTTACGACCAACTTGGATGTGTGTAGCTCGAGCACCTCCCAATATCAAACTACCTATGTGCTGGCACGTTCCATTTGCTTTGCTGAATCGCAGTCCCCGGCAGCACTCGTGCAGCGTTCCCATCCCCGGTAGTCTGTCCCAGCTATCTCCTACAACGAAGACATCTTAGATCCCAACAATTACCTTCATCTTCAGCACTCAGATATCAGTACTGAATAGTCCACAGCCCCCTGTTTATCCTCTGCATGTCTCCTCGTTTGGGCACCTGAGAAGACTGGCAGATCATATCGACAGCACTCATTCCATGTCATACTCCACAGTTCCCGCTTTGGATCATCCGGTCATTCGTTCACGGAGTGCAAAAAATGCGCTGTGTCAGAACTATCATCCATTTCATGACGGCTCTTCCGTCGCGGATTTCGCGGTGGCTGGTGCGGCTGACAATTACTACTCCATTCAAAGTCGTCCTGTCCTTCGGCTAGGCTCTGCGTACTTGTCAGCCACTGCTCTCCGCGTTCAAAACCCAGTTTGCCTGAGATTCCGCTCTCTTACGCTCCCCCTCCGGCCATGCTAAACTATCACCCTGCCTCAATGCTGCTGTTTCCACTGCTGGTGGCCTGCTGCCGCGCTCAAACTCTAGGTGGCCCTCCGTCAACGTCTCCTCACGATTATGGCGAACCGAAGGGAGATTACAGTTCACAGTGGCAGTCTTGTGAGTCTACATACGACTCCATAGCATTCATCGGAATTTACCCTTCACTTAGACTTCCAGGTCGCGGACTCTTTGTCTGGTGTAGACTTCACGCTACCCAACAGCTATGCGGGAAATATTGCAGTACAACGTGAGGGTCACGCAAACGACACGCTGTTCTTTTGGGCGTTCGAGCACCAGAAGGAGTCGTTGACTGCTGCCGCCGGAGAAAATGGCGATACGCCGTGGGCTATCTGGCTGCAGGGTGGGTAAGTTTGCTTCTTCTGTCTACTCCAAAAGTACCTAATTTATTCTCTTCAGACCTGGAACGTCAAGCATGCTGGGACTCATGACTGAGAATGGTCCTATCCAAGTACAGCCTGGCACTCAGAAGCTTGTCCAAAACAAGTACGCTTGGAGCAACTTGGTCGACTACATCTGGGTGGACCAGCCTGTGTAGGTGTCAGCCCTAATCTTGGCAAAATTTGACTGAAGATTGGTGGACCAGCGGTGTTGGATTCGCGACTGCCGACTCTAATGGATATGGTACGGCACTCTTCATATCTACTCCTCTTTCAAGGTACCGACATATCTTTCCCAGCCGCTGATGAGGACCAAGTTGGAGTTGACTTCGTTAGTCACATCTACTTTCGCGTTGAATATTCGTCACTGACAGTGTGGGATGTAGATCGGCTTCTTGGACAATCTGGTCAAGGTCTTCCCGAGTTTAGCTACACGCCCTTTCTATCTCACTGGAGAGAGCTACGCTGGCCGTTACATCGTATGTCGCTCTCACTTTGTGCGCTTTCCCGTTGACCAACGACCCGCATGTCAGCCGTACATAGTGAAGACTCTCTTCTCGATGCCAAACCCCCCAGTACAGCTATCGACGATGGTGGTTGGGAACCCGGCGTTCGGTTCCAATGCCGAGTTCAAAGTCATGCCGACTGTACGAGTACTTGACCTTGTGTAGTGCATGCCGTCTGACTCTTGCTTCTGCAGCTGACCCTCATCGAAACCTACCCCCAGTTGATTGGCTACGACACTAACGTGTACGACTACTTCAAGCAGCAGTAAGTGCATGACCGCGATACCATTCCTCTCATTCTGACGTCCTGTCCGCTAGATCACACCTTTGTGGGCTCGACATCAACTTGACGTATCCACAGATGGGTGGCATCCTCGCTCCGGTCAATCTTAATCCGGGCACAGAACCTACGTTGCAAAATCAGACACAGCCTGATAACGACGATGACAAGGAGAAGACTAGGGGGAAGAATTCCCGGCTGGCGAACCGCAGCTTTGCTGCTGAAGTTGCGCATCGGTACTCCGAGCGCCGGGCTTCCGGTGAGCCTGCGCAGCCGTTTCACGAGAGGCTTCGCAAGCGTGCTGCGTGGACGACGGACGCCACGAACTCCTCTGGGATCAGCTCGTATTACGGATGCGATGTTTGGGACGAGATGCTCGACTACGCACTGAATTACACGTTCCCGTGGTGTAAGCGGCTTTTCTTCTGCTCCGTGGCGCGGCGTTGACTGGACGTGGGCAGCAACATACGGGGAGGTTGACGTAAGTCTTCCTCTAAGTCAAAACTAACCGAGTGACTGATCTCTTTTAGACTTTTGATGTACCCGATTCTCTTGACCCCGAGGCTCCCGACGATCCTACCTTCTTCTTCACCAGTCAGCAGCTTAGTTTCTTCACCTTTTTGTCTACTTAAATCGTGCGCCTCAACGCAGACTCTCAGGTTGTCAAAGCTTTGCATGCGCCCCAGAACGTCGAATGGTCAAGGTCTATTGATTATCCTTGGGACTCACGTGAGTACTCTTACCGCTACCAATTTGTGAGACGTCCATCGACCTTGTGCAATCACCAGAAGTTGGAGGAATAGACCCAAGTCCCGAGTGAGTATCCTCTAACACTCAAGAAGTCCGGCTCATCTTGCTCACTCTGTGTTAGACCAATGACGTTCTTCACCGAGTTAGCGACCAACGCAACTCGGCACGGAATCCGCATTGTCACGTATGTGGGCAATGACGATAGCATCTCGCCCCACTTCGGCACAGAAGTCACCATCCAGGTAGGTGATTCGTCGGACCATCGCAAGTAGAGCTAACATAGGGCGCAGAACACGACCTTTGGTGGCACGCAAGGCTTCACTCGCAAGCCGAGCACGCCATGGTTCAACGACGACGGAGACTGGGCGGGTATCGTTCACCAAGAACGCAACTGGACGTATGCCTTATTCTATGGGGCCGGTCACGAAGTGCCAGGGGACCAGCCGGTATCGGTACATGTGTCACTCATACGCATCTAAGCTATATTGCTGAGAGTAATCTGCGCAGGCCTACACCTTCCTCCGCGAGTTCATCCTCGGCAACAACCAAACAGGCCTCGTTGTCTCGAGCGGCAACACCACGAGCGTCATCGGCGACGAGAACCCGACTCTCCAGCAGACTGCGATCCCCGGGCAGCTCGCGATCGACTACGGTTCGACCACAACGCAGGGCAGCACGATCTGGCCCAGCGCGACCGTTGCTGCGTTTGAGAGCCACGTCGGCCAGGTCTCTGTCACCGGGACCAACGCCATCAAGCCGACTGCTACGTCTGGCACCATGTCGTCGGTGCATCCCAAGCACGCGGGCTTCGTCGTGTTCGCGATAGCTATGGCGCGGCTGCTGGACGAAATTTTCTGAATGGTCGACAGAGTTCGCGCGAAGTTTGCTCCCGGTGACGCAGAGAAGGACAATAGAATGCTTGACGATAGAATATTTACTTGTCAGTAGAGCGCCATCTGCGACAAGAATCTCAGTCATCTTGCCCCCTTGGTTGGACACATTCCGGTTGTCTGCGGCGGAACATAGTTCGACAAGCCCAAGATATAACTTACCGTAGCCAGCTAACGATACAGTGGAACACAATGATCTAGTAGCCTGGGTATATGCCGTCGTTCCACGGAGAGTCTAGTTTTCTCGCCATTGGTGCCCGCAGGCCGCGCAGCTGAATAAGACATGTCAGACATGGCGGAAAGGGCACGTCTCGCGTACGCACCGGAAGACTAAAGACGATAGCTCTTTGTCAGACTATGCAGAGAACGACGAAACCGAGAGGACGTACACGTCGTCATGGGTTCGTCAGCAGAACGAATCTGTAGCATGTAGAAATACGCGCGGCCGTGGTCACATTTTGGACATGATGCTGCAGATGCAGAGCATTTGTTAGAGTGTCTGGAGTGGGCAAGTAAAGTACGTACCCGCCGTGGAATCGGCATGCTTCCACATGTCATCCCCACCAAGCACGTCGTCGACCTGCTTCCTCTCTAGACGCGTCCTTGACGTCATCTGAGAAGCCATGAGCTTCTTCATATTTTAGCGGGCTTTGCTTGCTCACCTGTTTTGTTATGGGGAACTCATACGCGCAGGTATTGCATGCCCACTTATTGTAGCCAGTTTCAGTGGAGATGACGAGCAGGTTTGCGCAGCTCGGGCAAAACAGCATTTTCTAACAAAATCGAGAGATTAAAGTGTAGCTCTCTAGAATATCGAGTGGAACATACGGTGGGCGGTGAAGGACAAATGCAAGCCGACAGTCAAGATTTCGTGCGGGACGCTCCCCGACTTCGGGGATTTGCCGAAAGCATCTGATTGGCTCCCAATACTGACGCTTTCTCAATAGAGGCAGCTACGTCCGCCTGCTCGTCCGTACCCGTCTTCCCCCACACTTGTGGTGACCACTCCAGCCAACATGGCAGCCCCTGCTACGTTGGCCTCTCAGGCAGAAGTCCTCGACAGGATCTTTACTGGCCTTAAAGACAAAAACCACGAAGTCCGGTTGCAATCTGCCATCGAACTACAGCGATATGTACGCACAAGACTGCTTTCACATACATCAGCCAAACTTACGTGTTGTCTTAGGTATCGGGCACAGTGCCGGACTTGTCGTCAGATTTGGCAGCCAAATTATGGGACGAGACCGTAAGCAGGCTCTCCGAGCTCGTGCACAGTCAGACAAACGTAGAGAAGCTGGGAGGCGTACTGGCTATTGGTGTGTGCTCAGCGATCTTTTCTGCCGTTCTGGGCTCACGTTAAGCACTCTTTTAGACCATCTACTAAACTCTGAAGCTGCTGACGGCAACATTGAGTCAAAGCGTAACCTGTTCCGCTTCTACAACTATGTCAAGTACCTCTTGCCCAACCCCGATATCAACGTCATGTTAGCGGCGTCCAAAACCCTTGGTCGAATTGCTGAAGTTGGTGGCGCAGCGTTTGGAGAGCGCTTCATGGACTTTGAAGTTCCGGCAGCTATCGAACTCTTTGATAAGAGCGAAGCGGGGCGATACGCAGGTGTGCTCATTCTCAAGGAACTTGCTCGCAACAGTCCCACATACTTCCATCCCCACATCGACCTCGTCTTCGCACACATCCTTATACCTCTTCGGGATTCCCGGATCATCGTCAGAGAAAGCGCAGCAGAGCTCTTGGCAGCATGTCTGGAGATCATCGCGCAGAGGGAACGTCAGACTCGGAGCCCGTTTCTCTTTAAGACACTGCAGGACGCTCAGAATGGCTTGAAATCGCCACAGCCAGAGGTTATTCATGGATCTCTGTTAACATACCGCGAATTGCTGTTACACGGAGGCATGGTCAGCTTGCCACTTTCCATTGTTAGTCGATGCTCACGTCTCCGATTATTTTCCAGTTTATGAAGAACAACGTTCAGGATGCTGCAGAACAGATCATGAACTTCAGGACGCATCGCGACCCTCAGGTCCGAAAGATGGTCATCACGCTCATCCCGACGCTCGCTATGTACGACACGCAAACGTTTACTGAACATCATCTGCATAAGGCCATGGCGCATCTGTTGGCACAACTAGAGAAGCCAGCAGAGCGTTCAGTAGGTGAATACGGCCAATTTCTATCCGATCTACATTTCTTGATTGGTTTATACAGCATTTATTGCTATCGGCCATGTGGCGTCTGCTGTGGGAAGCGAGATGAAGCCGTTTTTGGACTCTATCATGCATCATATTAAGCAAGGGTTGCAGATGAGAGGGTCAGTCCCTTTTCTAAGCTATCTTTGCGCAGCTGTTAAGCGGTCTGCACAGGAGGAAAAATGCGCCGTCCGAAGAGCCTATCTTCCAATGCATCGGCATGCTCGCCTCTGCCGTAGGACCAAACTTGACGAAGCTGCTGCACGACCAACTGGACCTCATGTTCGCCTACGGGCTGAGCGAATCTCTCCGAGAAGCGCTGGTCGCCATTGCTCGCCATATCCCACCATTGCTGAAGACAATCCAAGGTAAGGCCTTACTATTTTATGCGCCAAGTGCTCTTGGGCAGATGTATTTTCGCACGATAGAACGTCTCCTCACTCTCTTGTCGAATATCCTGAGCAGCCAGCCATACAAGCCGCTAGGTGCTCCCCCTGCTCTTCTTCGAGGGGATTCAGCATCGCGCGATAATAGCATCCCGGAGGTAAATATACTGTCTTACTTAACGATAAGTACTACTAACCCTGAGAACAGGGCGTTCAAGTTTCGAGAACCCCAGATATACTAATCCTTGCTTTGGATACTCTAGGGACGTTTGACTTCAGCGGACACGCGCTCAGCGAATTCTTGAACGAAGACGTTCTGCCGTTTGAGGATGACCATCCTGGTGTTAGACAGGCTGCGGCCACGACGTGTTGCCGTATCTTGAGTCGCGATCCTATTTGCTACCAGGCCAGCAATCACTCCATCGAGATCGTCAGCGGTGTCATTGACAAGCTGCTGACTGTTGCGGTCGCCGATCCAGGTAACTACATATCTTGCATGTCATACTTCCGTTGGCGGTATCTAATAATCATGAAAAGACCCCAAGATCCGTCAGGTAGTTCTGTCTTCGCTCTCCGAACGGTTCGACAAACACCTCTCGCAAGCGGAGAATGTGCGCTCGTTGTTCATCGCGCTGAACGATGAGGTTTTCGAAAACAGGCTGACTGCTGTTGGTCTCATCGGTCGGCTTGCCTTACACAATCCGGCCTATGTCATGCCGTCCCTCAGGAAGATGCTCATTCAGCTACTAACAGAACTTGAGTACTCGAATACTGTGTACGTGATACCCAGTGTACGAGATAAACGCTGTTGACTCGTTTGATAGCCGCAATCGCGAGGAGTGCACCCGCATTCTCGCCCTGCTCATTAATGCCACCCAGCGACTGATCAAGCAGTATGCGATACCCATGCTACGGGTTTTGCTGCCCAAAGCTAACGACCCAAACCCAACCGTATCCGCGAATGTGCTCATGGCCCTCGGCGAGCTATCTTGCATTGGTGGCGAAGCGGTGATGCCTCACGTTCCGGACCTCATGGGTGTTATCATGGCGAGTCTTGTGGATCCTACCTTGGTGAAGCGGGATGCTGCGCTCCATACACTTGGCCAAGTCTGCTCAAGCACGGGATACGTCATTCAGCCACTAATCGAACATCACCAGTTACTACAGATATTGAGTAGGATTCTCCGGACAGAGCCGACGCAGGCTGTGCGTCGCGAAGTTATCAAAGTACTCGGTATTTTGGGTGCATTGGATCCCTACAAGCGACGAGTAAGACTCTTCGATCACTCTGACAGCTAATAACTGATCTTTTGTGCAGAGCAAACCGGAAGACGAGGCAGCCGCAGCCGCGAATGAGCTCGCAGCAACCCAAATTTCTGTACCCCGCACCATTCAGAACCCGGACGATTACTACCAGACGGTCGCGATTAGTGCCTTGCTCAGTATCTTAAAGGACCAGTCCCTGAGCTCCCAGCATCATAAGGTCATTGAGGCGATCATGTCCATCTTCAAGACCCAGGGACTGAAGTGCGTGTCCTTCCTTCCTCAAGTAAGTATTGGCAGACATTCAGTACGACCTTGCGACTCACTTTCACTTTCAGATTATTCCAGCTTTCGCTGAGGTCGCGCGAACCTCTGCTGCCCGCGTGCAAGTTTTTCACTTGGAGCAGCTTACTATCCTTGTCGGCATCATCAAGACACATGTCAGAAAGTACACCATTGACATCTTCGAACTGATCAGCGAACTATGGGAGAACCAACCCCTGCAGCTGCCGCTTGCTTCGCTGGTTGAGGCTCTGGGCAAAGCGCTCGATGCCGAATTCAAACCGTTCCTGCCGAATGTCTTACCATTGCTGCTGAAGGTATTTGATTTCGACATGACCGAGAAGGTTTCGAACACGCAGATGAAGGTCTTTGACGCACTCCTCACATTCGGTGCAAACATCGAGGATTACCTTCAGCTTGTCGTTCCAATTCTTGTAAAGACTTGCGAGCGGCCGGATGGACCTTTGCCCCTGCGGAAGAGGGCGATTCAGACCATTGAAGGGCTCACTCGCCGCGTGAACTTCTCTGATCATGCGTCGCGCATTATACACCCTCTGGTCAGGGTCTTGGGTCAGCCTTTCAACGAATTGCGACAGGCCGCAGTAGATTGTCTCTGTGCGCTTATGCTGCAACTGGGGTCGGACTTTGCAGTCTTTGTACCCACCATCAACAAGGTAAGCCTCCAGTTAGTTAGCAAAGGCGTCCCAGGCTGACGGGCTTGCAACAGACGCTAGCGAAGCACCCCATGAACCACATCCGGTACGAAAACCTCGTAACGAAGCTTCTCAACGGCGAGCACCTGCCGCAAGATGCTGGCGCGCTGGACTTGCTGTATGTACCTCCTGTCTTTCAGGTTACCGACCATACTAACCGAAGCCGCAGCGAAAGTAACAAGGTTCCGGAGTATTCGCCTCCCGCTGAAGCAACGAAGATGGTAGTCAATCAGCAGCATCTCAAGCAGGCTTGGGACGTGTCTCAGGTCGCTACTCGAGAGGACTGGATCGAATGGATGCAGCGCCTGTCTGTGGAGTTCATGCGAGAGTCGCCGTCGCATGCTTTGCGCGCGTGCATGAGTTTGGTTGACGTTCACACTCCACTCGCAAAGGAGCTATTTAACGCCGCCTTCCTTTCATGTTGGGGAGAATTGTATAACCAGTACCAGGCACGCCCATAACTGCTTAAACTTGGATGTATCTGACCATCGTTGCAGGAAGATCTTGTTCGCTCACTAGAGACTGCTATCACGGACCCTCTTGCACCTCCCGATTTGGTACACCGCTTGCTCGATCTCGCTGAGTTCATGGAGCACGAGGAGAAGGCATTGCCTATCAGCAACAGCACTCTCGGAGAGTATGCCATGAGGTTCCATGCCTATGCAAAGGCACTGCACTACAAGGAGCTCGAGTTCTTTACCGAAACGTCCCCCAGCATCATCGAGTCCCTCATCAGCATCAACTCGAAGCTGCAGCAGTACGACGCTGCTTGGGGCACACTCCTTATCGCTCGCGAGCAGTACGACGTCAGCAAGCACGAGGAGTGGTATGAGCGACTTGGAAGGTGGCAAGAAGCATTGCAGACCTACGAGCGGAAGGCCTTGGAGGACCCTGATTCACCAGAGGTCACGCTCGGCAGGATGAAATGTCTGCACGCCCTTGGCGAGTGGGATCAGCTTATGCAGAGTATCGAAGAGCACTGGTCTGAGGCCACGCACGAGGACCGCCGCGAGATGGCCCCACTGGCGGCCGCCGCCGCATGGTCCTTGACGGATTGGGACGCTATGGATGATTACATCGCGACTATGAAGCCTGACTCTGCCGACAGACCCTTCTACCGCGCCATCCTGGCGGTGCATCAGAATCAATTTGCGAAGGCTATGGCGCAGATTGCTAAGGCTCGCGATATGCTCGACCCAGAGCTGTCGTCACTAGCGGGCGAAAGCTATGGCAGAGCTTACAAGTGAGCCCCTTCTCTTGCTAGTTTTTCTCCATACTGACAGGGTTGCAGCACAATGGTTCGTGCCCAGATGCTCTCCGAGCTCGAAGAGATTATTCTTTACAAGCAAAATGCGGATCAACCAGACCGCCAGCAGTCGATACGTCGTACATGGATGAAACGGTCAGTTTACCTGTTCTTGTTAGGATCTTGGATCCTGACTAGTAGCGGTCCAGACTCCAAGGATGTCAACCGGATGTCGAGGTTTGGCAGCGTGTCCTCCAAGTTCGCTCCTTAGTCCTTAACCCCAACGATGACTCTGTCACCTGGATCAGATTTGCTAACCTCTGCAGAAAGAACGACCGTATGTTCTTGGCGGAGAAGGCACTGGACTCATTGATGTCCCCTGAACGGGTAAGCCATTCCTACTTAGTACAGGAGCTGGGTAACTCATGGGTTCAATCAGCTGCAGGCCCAATATCGCAACGATCCTCAAGGAGTGCGCGTACCACCGCATGTAGTATATGCGCACTTGAAGTTCTTGTGGGCGAATGGCCAGCATGAAGAGAGCTTGAGATACCTCTTCAAATTCACTACAAGTTTGGCGAGAGATCTTGTACCGGAGACCGAGCGCCCTTCAAGCTCCGTTCAGAAGAGTAAGCTTGAAGACCTCTCGCGTCTTCTCGCGCGATGCTACTTCAAGCAGGGTCAATGGCAAGTTGCCCTCCATCGAGACTGGGACGAGCGGCCCATCAAGGAAGTCTTGCACTCTTACTGGCTGGCCACTCACTACGATTCGAAATGGTATAAAGCATGGCATACATGGGCGTTGGCCAACTTCGAAGTCGTCGGATACTTGGAATCTCTCACAGAGGACAGGGCGGATATACCAGGCGACGATCTCGCTGTACACATAGTGCAAGCTGTGGAAGGTGAGTGCGTTGCAAGGTTGACTTATAATAGGCGCTCATTATTTCTCCAGGATTCTTCCGATCAATCGCTCTGCAGCGGACGAACGCTCTGCAAGATACCCTGAGACTGCTGACCATGTGGTTCAAGTACGGCGCTCATGACGACGTCAGCCATGCTATGGCAAGCGGGTTCACAGATGTCGAGATTGATACCTGGCTCGAAGTCATTCCTCAGGTAAGAGTGCAGTTTTTACCACGCATTCTCGGACAATAGTGACGCTGCTCCAGATTATCGCTCGTATCCAGATGCCTAATGCGAACATCCGTCGCAATATCAACAACCTATTATCGGATGTCGGCCGGCATCACCCTCAGGCTCTCATATATCCTCTGACTGTCGCATCGAAGTCCAACAGTGCTCTTCGCCATACAGCTGCCTTGAATATCATGGACCGCATGCGTGAACACAGTCCCACCATCGTTGAGCAGGTATGTGTTATCTTAGATCAAAGCGGCTATGCCTCTGACCGTCCCTCAGGCACTCATTGTCAGCCGAGAGCTAATTCGAGTCGCGATACTGTGGCATGAACAATGGTTTGAAGGCCTCGAGGAAGCGTCTCGCTACTACTTCAACGATCACAACCCTGACGGTATGATTGCGCATCTCGAGCCCCTGCACATTATGGTGGAGGCTGTAAGTGCGACGAGTTTCTGCTCCACCGGGAATTTTCTCACGCTGTTACAGGGACCAAAAACTGCTCGCGAGACGTCCTTTGCCCAGGTCTTCGGCAGAGATCTCCACGAGGCCCGCGAAGCCTGTAGGCGTTACCGTATCTATGGAGAAGTGCGCGATTTGGAGAAGGCGTGGGAGATCTACTATGGTGTCTTCACTAGGATCAAGAAGCAGCTTGAGACTCTCACGACGCTCGACTTGCAGTTCGTTTCGCCCGAGCTTCTGAAGGCGCGGAACCTTCAATTAGCGGTGCCAGGAACCTATCAGGCTGGCAAGCCTATTGTCACGATCGCGAGCTTCGTCCCTAAGCTGACAGTCATTCCGTCGAAACAACGGCCCCGAAGGCTGGCAATCAAGGGTAGTGATTGTAAGGACTACCACTTCGTTCTGAAGGGTGTGTCCCCTAGTCTCATAACCATTCCTGAGAAGCATCTAACACCTTACCTCAGGACATGAGGATCTCCGACAGGATGAGCGTGTCATGCAATTGTTCAGTCTCGTCAACAACCTTTTGTATGAGGACGTTGACTGCTTCAAGAGGCGATTGCACATTCAAAGTTTCTCAGTCATTCCGCTTGCTCCACAAGCTGGTTTGTTGGGATGGGTCAACGACAGCGACACGCTACACATCCTCGTCAAAGAGTACCGTGATTCTCGCAAGGTCCTTATCGATATCGAGCGTCGTCTGATGCTCCAGGTTGGTTTACCTTCTCATTCGTTTGAGGCATTCACCTGAGTAGTCACCTTTACAGATGGCACCCAACTACGAAGATCTAATCCTCCTGCAGAAAGTCGAGGTATTCGAGTACGCTTTGGAAAACACGACCGGTCAGGATCTTTACCGGGTCCTCTGGCTCAAGAGCGCAAACTCTGAGCACTGGCTCGAACGTCGGGCGACATACACGCGCTCGCTTGCGGTCAACAGTATGGTCGGACACATCTTGGGTCTGGGTGACCGTCATCCGTCGAACTTTTTGTTCCAGCGGAGTACAGGCAAGGTCGTCCATATCGACTTCGGCGACTGTTTCGAGGTAGCGATGCACCGCGAGAAGTATCCCGAGAAGATTCCCTTCCGGTTGACGAGGATGCTCACGCACGCAATGGAGGTGTGTATTATCCGTCGTCAGACACGAGGTCCAGCTGATTATCTGCGCAGGTCAGCGGTATTGAAGGAAGCTTCCGGATAACCTGCGAGATCAGCATGAAGGTCCTGCGCGATAACAAAGAGTCCTTGATGGCTGTGCTGGAAGCTTTCGTGTATGATCCGTTGATCACATGGAGGCTTATCCAACATGATGGTGACGGCCGTCGCGCTGAACGTAAGCTCCTCTAGCGATATTCCGCGGGTGATGACTGATGGCCGAACGTCGTAGTCATGAATCCAGACCGTAACGTAGATCTGGTAGGCTCGGCCGCAGAAGGTGGTGGAGGCGCTCACCGCCGCATGCGGCCAGACGAGAATGACATTTTCAACGGTCAGTGATGATGCATGGTGTGAACGCCGGGCACGTACTGAAGAATTATAACAGAGGCGCAGGAGATCCGAAATGAGCGTGCACTCGCGGTGTACAACCGTGTGCAGCACAAGCTCACTGGTCGCGACTTCAACCCGGACGAGGTGCTCTCGGTACAAGCACAAGTCGACAAACTCATCATACAGGCGACCTCATTAGAAAACCTCTGTCAATGCTTCTCCGGCTGGTATGTCTTCCTGCGTTACGGTTCATTCCCGACGGGTTGCTCATAGTCCCGCGTCTCCTAGGTGTGCATTCTGGTGATCAACGTGATATTCTCTCCATTCTCATCTGTAATTTGCTTCAATTATCTCGTCTTCAAGTACTTCTGTACAGTAGAACTAGGCACTTCCTTTCATCACATATACAATGTTGTTCTCGATTGTAGGATAGACTTCCTAAAACATGATCATAGACATATTTGTATTGGTTTCCTGCATGTTCCGACACGGGCCAAAAGCGTGCATCGCCGAGAGGCCAAATTCGTTCGGGCTAATCACGTCATGGCGTCTAGCCCTGCTCGGTCATCGGACATGTGCGATGCGCTCTTCTCTGGTTGACACTCGACTGCGCCATTATCACCGCCTTAACAGCTATCCTGTGGACCTGCCGAATTTGTTCATAATGCAGCAAGAGCTGTCCATGGCAAAAAGTAAGCAATCGTAACTATGTTCAATAGTACATTGCATGCATGTATATATACAAGAGACTACGATGCTAGCTGTACAAAAGAAGCAGAGGCCAAGATTAGTAATTGTATGCTGCGGTCCTGTCAATTGGAGTCCTTCATTGCGGGTAAGGGACATCATGACGTGCTGGTATCAATAAGTGGCGCAAACAGTTTGACACGAGGTGTAAGCGTGTCCTCTGAGACTACCTGTTCGGAAAGTGTCATCGCGGCAGTGCATAGTCGGAAGTGTGTATGGATTACGAAGACGCGGAGAATAGACTGGCCAGGCTGTGCAAAACCGCTTCGAGCTTGCCTGGGAGTCCGCCGAAGACAATAAGGAGCTGCGCAAGGCAGAGAGCGAGGAGGAAGGCGGCGACGGAGGACATTGAGAAGCCGCTCGTGGCCTGCATTGCCTCTACGGACTTCATGGACAGCAATGGAGTGCTTGGCGGCGAGTCCGAGTCAGGAGTTACTGGATCGCCCAGAGCCGCAGGCGTCGGTTGGCTAATAAAGACCTTCGGAGATCGGAGAGCGGTGAAGAGGCCAGTGTTAAGTTGGAAAGCGATTTGTGCTTCATCTATGATCCGGGCTGCGGGGAGTGATGAGTCAAACGTTCAGGTAACCAATTTTCGAAAACGTACCCTTTAGTGCAGGGTCGTTACCAACGCCTTTGTCCATACCGTCACGGTACCATTCCTTGATCTTCTTCATGTCTCCGATAGTTCCCGACGCGTTTCCACCGAGCTGCTTGAAGTCGTAGAAGGAGAGACCGTCGCCGTCCTCAAGCCCGTACGCCTTGGCGATCCTACGCTTGATGAACTGCCCTCCACTGAGGTCTCCCAGGTACCGGACATAAGCGTGAGCGAGGAGTGCGTCGGGCTGCGACTCTCCAAGCTTTCGGAGGCGAGCGGTGTAGGCCGAGAAAGGCGCGGGCGGGTTCGAAGTCAGCTGGGCGTGCATCGGGTGTGACTGCCACGATGACTCCGGAACTTGCAGGAGGTGGGAGATGTCGGCGGAGAGGGATTGGGTGCGCGCAAAGAGGGTTGGGTTGTATATGGGCGCAAGGACGGGGTGTGAAGCATGGCGGTCGAGTCCCTGCTCGAGCGTCCTGTGTGGCGTCGTCAGTAAGGGGCACAGTGGTGACACGAGAGGCAAGATGCTCACTCGTAGACGTGGTACAGCATCATGACGAAACGAATGTACTCGTCCTTGTCAAGCTCACCGCGGGTGAGCCACCCAGCTCCCTGGCTATGCTCAGCCTCCTCATGAGCTGCGGCCGTCTCTGTCTTGAGAAGAGTGGAGATGGGAAGCGAGTAGTCGGTTTCTGCGACGACGGACATAGCGATGGATGTGGTTGAGAGGGGAGAGGAAATGGGGAGAAGAGGAAGGCTTAAATGGTTGATTTAATTAAATAAAAGGGACATCCCCTGGGCAATCCAAGATGGTCGTCCTGACAAGATGGGCGGCAGGTCCGCAGAAGATAGACGCCTATTTGCACCGCCTGTTGAACGACCTTGTCTGATATGATAACGAAACGGTGCCGCCCTTGACTCACTTGCGCTCCCACTGGCACCTCTGACGTTCTCTTGAGGATTTTCTACCCACCTCACCTCAGAACCAAACGTCCTGTTCGTTCACTCAGCTGCGATTCCTCGTTCCCCTTACGATCTCCTCCTCTCCAGCAAACCTGCTAGAGCGCAAATCTGAAGCCTGAAGATTTGTTCGGACTGGAGTCACAGGCTGTCCCGTACATCTTCTCCTCAGACAGTGGCAGAACACCAGAGATTACCGGCATCAGTCCATCTGCAATTTTTGGACGAGCGACTGCGCAAACTATTCAAATCAACTCGTCATATCATGACAAACACGTAGTAAGCTCTACGGCGAACTATTCAGACTGGCGGCGTTCGAACGTTCTGAAGAGCTTTTCTTTCCGCGGTGGATTATTACTATAGCTAGAAAGTAGTGATTACTCAGTAATCGCCATTTAGTTGAGAAGCTTCGTGCCCACCAACCGCCTTGGTCCACAAACTCCTAGAGCCTCGCGCTGCCAACCCCATACTTGAGCGGCGGCAATGATCAGCAAGTGGTTGTCTTACGTACTGGTGTATTTGGCGATGCACGGGTGGCATGATGCGAGTCGCGCAGAAATGTTTGATAGGTTCTGACGGCCTACGGCGGGCTACCCTCAAACTTCACGCGCGGCGGATGGCTTATGAAGGCTGGTTCTAAAGTCGTAACATGTATCGGTCGTATCCCGTGTGCTCTTCCGGTTTGACCATGACCCTCATCTTGTTTCGCGTGATTTAGACCCAGGAGCGCGACACCGACTCACATAGCTTTGCCGCCAAGGCGTCAGTGATCCGCCCATACCCATACCCTTACATAAATCCGCATTGCAAGCCGCATATTGTTCTTCTCCACGCGCAATGGGTGTCTACCGACCTCAACGTGCCAGCGTTTCGCGAATGACCCATGTGTACCGCCATCCCTTTGGCCATCAATGCGGTCACTATACTGATAGCCCTCTGACGGTGAGCAATGAAAATAACTCATGCGATGTTTGGCTCTGATATTTGTGCTTCAGGCAAACGAGCGCAATATGAATATTTTTTCGCAGTCCTTCGCGCGAAGCCGAATTGGTGGATAAAATTGCAGGACCCCGCTATTCGTGCCAAATAGCTAGAGGAAGCCACAGGCGCACCCCCACTGCATGGTGAAATACCACTCAATCAAGCCGAGGTCAGATATGTGCTCGACGAAATGGATTGGCACGCTACGAGGCGTGACGAGAGAACCGGCATTGAAGTGAGTCCTTGTAAGGACCCCTCCACCAGAACGCTGATACCTCGGTTGTTACAGCCATCTATCTACTACCGCAACTGGCAATCTGACGAGTTGGTTGACGAAAGTGTTCGCGAGCAGCTGATCAAACATGTGTTGGCATTGGAGGATATATCGAACGAAGCAAAGGATTGACATCCCTTCTCTGATGGCCAAGTCCTAGACCTCATACACCCTTCGCTCTACTGCATAGTCTACGAACGTACTATCGTCTTCGATGCATACAATCCCTCCACCTCCCGTATCTGCGCTAACGTAGACGGTCGCTGGACGGACTACTTTCTCTCGCGCCGTTTTTCCTGGCTTCCCACCGATTTTGTCATCTCCCCCGATGGCAAGTCCGCTAAGGCGCTTGGATACATCAACAACCTCAACCCGTATATTCACAGTGAGATGAATCCCGTAATCGAGCTGTTCGTGGTCTCCTTTGTGCCCCTCTGGGAGCGCGTCCTGACGGAAAGCCGAGCCGACTTTTCCCCTGCTTCACGGATTCGGACTGTTCGATACGAATGAATACCAAAAGACGCTTACGACGACACGGACTCCGAGGGCGGTAGTGCCGAAGAAGACGAGGATTACCGGGATCACGAAAATCATACCTTGCAGTTGCCACCAATTCGCCCAGAGTTTATTCCCCCCTGGGAGCCGAGCCCGGTAATTCTCAAGGATCGTACATTGCAGATTATCGTGAAGCTGGCTCATATACACCTGATCAGTCTGCGTGGCTCTGCGTCGTCTACAGCTCACCGAGAGTCCTCTACTTTGACAGACTCCTGAGAAGCCGCGCTATCCTTGCGGCTCGTGGCACGTCGAAGGCATGATTAACGAAGCGATCGTGAGCACCGGACTAAATTATTACGACGAAGAGAACATCTCGACAAGCCTCCTCGCATTTCGCATGGTTGTCGACGAACCGGGATATCTGGAACATGATGACGAGCGGGCTGCGCAAGCTATATACGGATTCGAGAGGTACGTGCCCTCTCTATCTCGCACGCACCTGCTGCTTACCCCGCTTCCGACAGGGTTGATCGCCTGACTCAAGTACTCGGCTCCGTTGTAACGAAACAGAGCCGATGCCTTGCATTCTCCAACTGTTCCCAGTACCAAGTGCAGCCATTCGAGCTCTCCGACAAAACTAAGCCCGGTCACCGGAAGATTATCGCGCTCCTCCTCATAGATCCGGCGCTCGAAGAGCCACGACCATCAACCAGCAATGCCCCTCCTCAGCAGCCAGATGTGATGCGCTTTCTTTTGCGGGACATCGTTGCGAGCTTGCCCGCTGACAAGACTGGCCGGAAGAAAGGGATCGGTAAGCTGCCGGCAGAGCTTCTCGACAGCATTGTCGACCAGGCAGACTGGTTGATGACACGGAGGGAAGCCGAAGAATTCAGGCTCGGGCTGATGGATGAACGGAAGGTCATGGTGAAAGAGGACGACGAGATGATGTTCGCCCCAGAGTTTAATATGTGTGAACATTGATTCATTATCGAACGTTGTTTACCATCAGGCACATTGTAAGATCTGATCGATATCTGATCCCTTGAACTGCACCGTCTAACCAGCGGCATGCATGCCCTCGCCTCGTTCTTCCCGACCGGCACAGAGGGTGGTAGGACCCTTGTCTGTTCACGGTGAGTGGCAGATATTGCTTTCCGCGCACGAACTCTAATCGGACCCCATGACCCTCGTTGACGGGAGCGCTGATCTCTCACCTTCCTAGTAGGCCTACTTCCCAGCATCCGGCCACGTAAGGTTTGAAGGAATTCACGCCACGCACAGCTGGACCCTAGCCTGCGAGGCGCGCAGCAGTCCAAGCATGGTATCTCAGGGTCGTACAAAAGCGTCGCAAGGTAAACACCCGTAGCCACGAGATCTGTACGACAGGCAGACCACTTCACATTTGTGACTCCACCCCTGCTCTGCGCCTTTTTCGTCCCTTAAGATCACGTAGCACTCTGTCATTATTATGCCTCAGCTGCAAAGCGCGAGAAAAACCCGAGACGATAGTGGACGCCATGGCTCTCCGGCAAAGGTACGCGATTGCTCGGTAGACTCATCACAGTTTTCTAATTGTATCCGCACGGTACAGACGGGCGAGCTCAGTGCTGAAGTGGGTAGCATCGATGCGGACTGCCTGCGTATGCTCGACTGGATAACTAGGAATGATTGGGGCCTTGGCTACTACTACATATTGGCCTTCGTAAGTGGTCATTTTGGTCATTTCTCTCTTTCAGATCTGGACGATGAAGGCCGTCGTACAGGTCCCTCTAACGTTGGCAGCCTTGTTACTTCTCGTGCACCACTCTCTGTGCTATAACAACACGACCATCACTGTGATATTTGAAGTGGCCATTCCCAAGCACGCGCACCTACGGTCGTCCAGTGTCGCCACTGCCATCATGTCCTATACTTCCGAGGGCACCATCCCGTCTCATTCCGGTCTCAGCTGCTATCCAGAATTTATCACGCAGTTCTCTATTCTTCCCGCCATATCCTTGGCAAGCATATTACTTGCTGTTTTCGCTATCATCTACGTTGTCTTCCTGCTACCTTGGGCTGCCCAACCCGGATGCCGGATCCCCGCACTCTGGCCACTGCGTTACGGAAGAGTGCCGGCGAGTCCTGTCGTATTGAAAACAGCTGCCATCCTCATCCTCTTGCGTATCTTCCTCCCTCCGCGACATCAGTTCTAGAGCGTTTAGAACTTGGTTCAAGGGGGTCACGGGACGTTCGCGCACCCTAGTCAGCTCAGGGTATACTTATGGATTACTTATAGTAGGGCGATAGTGTTATTGCGGCGGTATCTTAAAACCTACAATATTTACCTCATATGTATATGTGCAACGCATTGTTAGGCTCTGTGCCACTACATATATCAGGCCACTGGTCCTTCACTGTGCTCCTTCGCCGGCTTTCGAAGTTGCGAGGATAACCTAGACAAGACATCAGCCATTTCTCGCCGGCGCCCCAGGCACCATATGTCAGCCATTCGACGACTTCAGACACTACTTTCTACCCCTCCCTGCTGTCCACAAAGTCGCACAGTTCGCGCATATGTTGAAAGACACATGTGCGCCCCGTGTACTCAATATGCTACCCGTTTTTCCCGTCCGGAGGCTGTAGTACAGTATGAGAAAAACTACCGTGTATCCCCCGGTTCCGCGCTGCGATTTAACACTGCTTCCACGACCCTGGTCGCAAATTGCGCTAAGAGGGGCATGTCGCGACTACTGTACCGCCATGACCAACAGTTCACACCCTGTGACCCGTGACGTTTGAAACCTGGTCAGTTCACAGTTCACGGACCCCCGTGATGCGTGACCATGGTTCAATGACTGAACCGTGACTGGAGCGGGCAGGGAGCTAAATCAGGCAATGCCCGCCGTCAGTAGCGCGCTGAGACACAACGTGATGGCGCATGGGTCTCGGGATAAGCAGTTATTGCATGTACTGTGCAGGACAACTGGCCGCTGTATGTGGCACATGGTTTGAATTCCATATGTTTTGGTGATCTTGTCCACAATCCCAGTGAACACTTCCTCAATAGCAACATATGCCGCAATGGATGTCAACTGACCCGACAACATTGATGTTGAGTACACAGACTGTGCAGATGAACCTGACGAAGTAGATGACATGCCACACAGTGTAATATAGGTATCTACGTTATTGGGTATACTGATACCACATGCCCTCGCTACAATCTCAGCGTTGTGCATTGATAACCAAAAGTTGAGCAAAAATGAAGATTATATTTCTAAGCGCCTATGTCACGGTGATGCAGCCAGTTCATTGCCCTACCGTGACCGTGACCACCTGTTCAAACCCGGCCTGTTCAGAGGCTCCGTGACCGTGACGTGAACTGTTGGTCATGGCGGTACAGTATTCTCGGTCCCAAAAAGGTCTAGATTGGCTGGGTCTGGGATGACAAGCATGCGGCCAGAGAAAAGAGCGAACAAGACGGTGTCGACGACCGTTCTACGGTCACTCTTCGGTGCTCAGTCCACCGAGCGGTGTCGTCCACGCACTGCTGGCATGCATGGATCGCCCGCGCAAGCGTTCTTGTGCTGAAACGGGGTTAAAGGAGCAAGGAACGGATGCATCTAGCGCATCACAAGACGGTGGCAGAGCTCCTATACAGCCCCGCGTACGTCGTCGTCAGACCTCGAGCCGTGAGTTCGCGCGTTGCCGGCGGCTACATACAGTAGCGACTAGAATCCTCAAGCAATAAGTTAGCCATCAGCTTTCTACCATAATATGCGGGACGTGCTAATCTTTGACCTACAGATAATGCGCAAGCCTGAATCGAAATTGGACAAGAGGAGTGCCAGTCTCTATAGTCCGTAACGAAAACACAGAGTCCTTGACACATGTGAAGCATAGTCTTTTCAAAGCAAGATAGACAGCGGTAATAGCACTGTAAGTGCAGTATGCCAGAATATACTGTACGAGATGGAGCGAGCCGCAGATGAAGGTGCTTTGTTTCCCGTAGATGGGGTCGGAGACGCCGTAGGCGCAACCGACGGCGTCGCTTCGACGTTGTCAAGCGAAGTCGGGGATGCGACCAGCGTAGTGGGCGCTACGAACGTACTATCGATCGTGAAGACAGTGGTAGCCGTGGGGGCGACGTTGCTGGTGCCTATCACACGCGTCAGAGTGAAACTATCCAGACTGTCAGACAGAAGCTCACTCTCGAACTGTCCGCCATCTTGCTGAGCGTCTTTGACGGCGTCCTGAAGCAGGGTCGAAGCATTCTGTGGGACGGTGGACATGAAACCGATGCGTGGCGGGTCGATAGACGGGTTTGTGAGGTTGCCATAGTAGAAAGCGACAAGGTTCGACTTGAGAAACGGGTCTCCGAGACTCCAGCTGAACAGTGCACCGTTGCTTGGTGGGTCCGTTGAGACAACGTTGTTCGCGATACACGTCGTTGCGTCGCCGCTGTTGTTCTGCGAGACGAAGTCTCGCGGGTCAACTGGAAACATCTGTCCACCGATCCCGAAGGCGAGCGTATGTGGCGTCGAACAGGGGAAAGTCGGCTGAGCGTTGGAGTTCGCCGCAAACACGGAGGAGACCGAGGTCAGGATGTCATTCACGACGTCCTGCGGGCCGCGAATGATAGAGTTCCCCTATAAAGATGGTAAGCAGGCAGTTGCTACATTGCCTGGATCGAACTTACCGTGTCAATAAGGGCAGATAGCTCCGTCGAGATACCTGTCAGTGTAGTGTCTGGGAGTTTCTGGCCGTCGAGGTAGACTGCGTCCAAAGGGATCTCCCATCGTCTGTGAAATTGAGATTGATACTCCCATATCCGAAACAACGAATGACTTACAGGGGATATACTTCGCCTGGCGCAAATGTCGGTGGGGATAGACCACCGTCCTCAACGCTGTAGAGCCGAACTGACACCCAAGTGATGGAGGAGTTGTCCACGCCTTGGGGAAGTTCCCCAATTGTGATCTGACCACGCCCGCTAACATCTATCGTGTCGCGCTGCAAAGTGATCTGCGAGCTATTATTAGCTCTCGTCTAGGCAAGAACATATGCATAAGCTTACGACAAACATAGGCTGCTCGATCTCGCCAGACGTTGCTAGGCGAGAAATTAATGGACCATCGGTAGGGATGTTGTTCACAAAGTCGTCCGTAGTCGAAGGGTTGTTGAACTGTCCAATAGCGAATGAGTTAATCAAATGTGATGATCTAGCGTATGGCGCAACTACCTGTTGGTTGACAACCGCAGCTTGCACGAAGCTGCGAACGGACGGAGTTCAGATAGATGGATGTGTTCATCAGAAGACATCGTACCTCTGGGAAGGGAAACCGAGTCCGAGGATGCCGGCGCCGCCGTTCTGCACCGCCGAATTATTGGTATCGTTAACAGCAGCGAAAGGCTGGTTGTCCATAGACAGTCCAGCTACAGCAGCAGTGTCCAATACAACTGGGCCCGATGCATGTGTCCCAGTAGTCGAATCTCCATATTCGAGAACAACGCTCGCGCCTATGGACGTGCCTGTGGACGACGTGTACGGCTGCGAAGTGGATTGCTGACAGGCTTTGGTGTGACAAGCATCAGACATGACCCAAAGGTCGCTGGAACCGGTGTCTGCACAAAATGTCAAAGCAATCGCAAAGATACTTGCGCTTGGTAACATACCAAGGTTCACAGTAGTCGTCGTGCTGCCGACCTGCACTGCGACAGTGTAGAAGCTATGACACAGTATCAAGGTGAAGGAGCATCCTGGAAATGCACACCACGGTACTCACAGGTCTGCTAAGTCTCCGACACCGACCACACCGGCCAAGCTGTCTCTCCTGTGAAGATCATTTCTCGCGATTATTCTCCTCTCAAAAGGTAGCGTAACGCTCTTCCGCTGGTGCGGTACTTGGAACGGTAGTGCCGATACACAGGCGGGTAGAATTAAGAGTGGCAGGACAGTCCAGCTCGCGGTAAGCATGTTCAATTGCGATTACTAGGCGACCTGCGCGAAGAGAACTGAAGGAGAATAAGAAAGGGTAGAAGAGGGCGAACGACAAGACAGTCGATGGACAGATCCAGGCCTCATCATGGTTTTAATAGCTCGGTTCGCTGAGGACTGCGATTGGTTGCTGCGTCGCGGTGATCGGGTTGCAACTGTGCGGTGCTGGGGTATCAGAGACAAGGTTAAACGACATTGACACGAAACCACGGTGGCACGGCAGGTCTATGATGTGCATAGGACTCCAGGTGCCGGACTGGGATAGCTAGTTTCAGCAAGCTGCATTTGAGAGAGCTGCAGAGAGCTCATTACAGTAAACCTCAGAGATTCACCGGTCGTTATGGAGCTTGGATGGAACGGCGCGCGCTTGTCGTTACACTGCGCTTTGCCGCAGCAATCCCGGGTCCGGCAACTTCAAATTTGCTTTCAAATACAGCTTTGTGTGGGTGCGTATGAAACAACTGTCTACTTTTCCATCGGTGAGAGAATACTATTATCGAGCTCCAGATATTTACACTAAGGCTTCTACCAGAACTTACCCTACACTCATGCTGAACCTGCCGGATCTGCCCAACGAGCTTCTGCATCAAATTGCTGAACATCTACATCCACCAGACTGGCATGATTTGGAGGGGCGAAATACCATGCACGGGTTACAATCCTTCTCTCTCATCTGCCGAAGGTCTCGCGACGTTGGCCAAGCGCACGTCTTCCGTGATATCGTCTTTTCCTTTCGCTGTGCAATCGAAGACGAGCGTTGGCTTGCAGAAGACGGGACTACACTGCCGGAGTGGGATCACAGGGGGGAAAACGAACCAGGCTCGCCCTATCGTACACTTGCGATATTTTGCACCTTCATGCGAGAGTATCCATCGCTTGGTCAGGCGATCAGGCGGCTCAAGCTCATCGCGTATCCTCGGGGCCCACTAATTACTAACCATGATTCTGGGCCCCGCCCATCCAACCTTGGAGACGACAGCTCAACGGAAGCCTTGCTTCTGCATCAACTCATTGCCCTCACACCCCTACTCGAGGAGCTTGAGCTGAAAGACATGCTCATTACTAGCACTACCGAATATTGGGAAACACTCAGTGGCCCCCTTCCTGCGTTGCGTCGCCTCGATATCGACTACCTGAAGCGCACTGATTCTCAGGGCCATGTCGGCGATATTCTCGGCTGTTTCAGCACGATCGGGAACGTACGTGTCAGAAACCTCCCGCGGCTGCACGAGTGGCCCGATGACATCGCCCCTCCCAACATGCGTATCGCATCGTTCACTTGTCTGGACGAGGGTTCCGAAGTGGAAGTTCTTCTGGACTACGTCTACGATTCGCCTTCCGTGGAGACTCTCAGGGAATTATACACTGGGTTCAGTCCCTCAGCATTTCCTGTGTACGATGAGTTGCTCTCACTCGTTCGACCAAATCTCGAATGCATCGGGATTACCGTTTCTCAGCCAGGAGTCTTAAGAGCAGACTATGACCCACCCCCGAATCTCTCGCCGTATACCAAGCTTCGCCGCCTGCTTCTGAAGTGCATGATGTACCACGACATGGCGCCCATTAACAACGCTGAGTGGGATAGACTCATCACTGTACTATCCTCCTGTCAGACATGCGACCATCTCGCGTCTGTAGACATCCTAGTGTGGTGTCCCCGCGGGAATATCTCCTGGCTGCAATCTCTCAACACCTCCGCTAGGCGGCGGATGGAGGACGTTCTGCTGAAGCTTGTCGAGGTGACGTCTCTTCGTGCGACGCGTTTTATGCTTTGCTGCCGTCAGCCACTTTCTGCTTCAGCCGAAGGGCTGCTTCGTCACGCATTGCCTCGCCTGGCCGAAAAGGGGATTTTAAGAGTTGCATATTCTGCCCGCCCTGATATCCCTGCTGAAATTACCTGATTGGTTTGTGATCACTTTGTCTAAGTGTGACTTATCTGACGAATTCTTTACGTTTCCACATCCTAAACACCAGATATATCGAAACATGTACAGCCTCTGTGGGTAGCTTTGCACTCGATTAGCGGTGATGATACTAGGAACTTGTGTCATCGATAAAAATCAAATTACGTGTTGTGCTCAGAGGACGTGCTCATTCACGTCGTTTGAGAGTTCTCAGCGGCGGTTCTATGGCGTTTGTATGCGAGCATCGGGGGAGATCTACGCTGATGCGTGTACTCTCAAGCCCATAGTAAACGGCTTCCGACCTACAACCATATCGTACAACTTATCGCGAATATCGCACTTACGAGGAGTTTCATTCCACATTTTATAGGTGAGGAACTACGCCGCTATGAACATGCAATTTTATAATAAGACTAGTTGCCCAACATTTAGATGTCAAACCTACCAAGCGAACTGCCACACGAAATCGCAGAGAATTTGCATCCTTCTGACTGGCACGGTTCCGAAGAGAGACGTGTCAAGCAAGATCTCTGCTCGTTCTCCCTCATCTGCCGAGTCTCAGGGGCATCGGCCAGGCGCACATCTTCCGCGACGTCGTTTTTTCATTCCGCTGCGCTGCTGAGGAAGAGCGTTGGTACAGGGAGGATGGATCCGGGATGCAGGAGTGGAACTCAAGCATCGCGATTCACCCTGGCGCACGCTTGCGATGTTCCGCACTACGGTTGGCCATCCGCACGTTCCTCCGAGAACACCGATTGCTCGGCCAGTCTGTGAAACGGCTGCGTCTCATGATCTCATCGCTCACCCTATCGGCGTCCCGGAGATGGAGAGTTGGAGAACAAATATTATATTCACGACGATAGCTCCACGGAAGCCCCTCTTCTACACGAACTCATCTCCCTCACACCCTCGCTTGCAGAGCTTGAGCTGCAGGACACCTCATCATCTCTTTTCCGGCTCGATGTGCAGTTTGAGCACCGCGACTTCTCGCAGGGCCATGTAGGCGACATTTTAGGCTGCTTCGCCGATCTTGACTACGTGCGTGTTCAAGGTTTACCGACAGCCGTAGTATGGCCGGACGACACTGCTCCCCCGAACATGGGTATCAAATCCTTTGTATGCCTCGATGAGCGACCCGAAGTCGGGACCTTACTTGACTATGTCCTCAATTCGCCATCGACCGAGACTCTCCGCGAACTGCGCGTCGGAGCTATCGCTACGAGATTCCCTCTCTACCACGAACCGCTCGGAGCCATCGGATCGAGGCTGGAACTCATAGAATGGGCTCTTCCTCTACCATCGATGGATGAAATCACTGATGTCGACGAGTCAGAGACTCCGCTGTCTCTCTCCTCTTCGTGCGATCTCTCCACTTGCAGCAACCTGCGCCACATATCCTTGAGATGTACCATGACAAGCGACATCTCTGCGCAATGGCATGGGCTGGCCAAGGTGTTTGCATCTTGCCGGATCTGTGCCCACCTGTCTTCGATAAATGTCTTCGTATGGGCAGCACACAGTAGCATGCCAGCTTGGGTGACTGCCGTGGCCCTGGGGTCTGGTACAGTGGCCGCTTGTTGGAACTCTGCGAGAGCACATCGCTAAGCGAGGTATATATTGTGATTCGCGGCGGCGATCTATTCGAAGAAGAGGAGAAGAAGCAGATCTGGGATGCTTTCCCCGGCTGCGTGAGAGAGATATTTTGCATTTTGCCTGTACCACTGCCGATGACAGAGACGTCTTTTGTTAATGTCGCCACACGTCTCCAGTCCAGTGGGTCTCTTGCGATGATCATTACAAGTATTCGGTGTTACAGACCATGTTCACTGTATTCGGACGTTTGACGGCACCGTGGTCGTGGAAACCTTTTGTTCTTCACGCTTCACGCTTCACGAGCGTCACAGGTTGTAGACATCATATAAAATATTAAAGTCGACCTTCTCAGCGTCTCGACCGGGCTAGCACATTGGAACCATGGGCTCAAATAATATATAACCATGGATGTAAGAGATTACAAGACGTGGCCAGGCAGTGTCGATATTAGGATAAAGCGACCAGCAGTTTACCGTTTCTCCGAGGCACCCGCTGAGATTACTAAGGACGAACGTGCGCACCACGCCGGGCAACTTAGTGATAGCAATCTCGTGAGTGTCTTGCAGGTAGCTCACGAAAGAGAAATATTTCCTTAATGACCCGAGGACCTGCAGCCAACCCGGCGGGCTGGTGGCTGAGTGAACGATGGTGCCTTCTGAAAGGGGAAAGCGTCGGGCGTCGAGCATCGGGCATCAGGGCAAAGCGTCAGGCCGGTGTTGAAGCGGGCCGAACGGACCGAGAGCGCACGATCGCAGACGCCAACTCCGACTCAGGGTTTCATATTCTTCGCAGAGACCTCATCTGCGCAAATGACTTCAGTTGCTCTTGAGCTTGAACCCCCACTGAGCCCCTTTTGCAGCTGTTCCCCGGCAGTATGCTACGGCGGGCCCTCTTGTCGAGGCGCACGCTTGCCGTCCTTTCAGGCTCAACAGTAGTTGCAGCAGTTGGGGGATACTGGTATCTGAATTCTGGGCCATCCTACCCGCCGTCGACCAAGGAGACGCGACGACCGCCCCCGCCATGGACACCGCCGCCAAGAGCTCAGATGCTTGAAAGGCTTAAGGCTTCGTCAAGGAAGACAGGTGAAAGCTATTCGGAAGAGTTTGATTTACTCGTCGTCGGCGGAGGTGCAACCGGTGCCGGCGTTGCCGTGGATGCTGCTAGCAGAGGCTTGAGGGTTGCCCTGGTAGACAGGGACGACTTCAGCTCAGGTGCGTACCCCCCATGTGCTATGACCGCCATTCTCGTGCACGCTCTACGCCTCCTATACCGACCCGTGGTGCGCTCGTGTATATAGGGGTGCGATCTCGCGTGCCTGAGCATGCGCATAGCTGCTGGTTGCGCATGTATCAGCGATGCCTTAGCGTGCAAATAATTGTGTCATGTCGTGTTCGATGTGTAACTCGTACTGAACAGTGACACTTCTCCTAGGCACGTCTTCCAAATCGACTAAGTTGGTCCATGGGGGCGTTCGATACTTGCAAAAGGCCGTCATGGAACTTGATTACGAACAATACAAACTCGTGAAAGAAGCTTTACACGAACGACGTATCTTCCTGCAAACCGCGCCGTATCTGTCCGCCATGTTGCCTATCATGCTTCCCATTTACAAGTATATCCTATTCGTCTCTGAAACTAAATGACTTGTTGATAACATAGCGTATAGGTACTGGCAAATTCCGTACTATTGGGCTGGTTGTAAGATGTATGATGTTCTGGCCGGAAAGGAGAACATGGAATCATCGTATTTGATGAGCAAAGGCAAGGCTCTCGAAGCTTTCCCAATGCTCAAGCAGGATGGTTTGGTTGGTGCACTGGTTTATTACGACGGTATGACAATTCGCGGCCGGTTGTTCGAGCGGGAATGGTTCTTGACTTCTGGCAGGACAGCACAATGACTCGCGAATGAATATTGCCCTCATCATGACCGCAGTTCAGCAGGGGGCGACTATCGCGAATTATGTCGAGGTCACGGAACTACACAAGGATGCTCAAGGAACGGGCAAGCTCTGCGGTGCGCGTGTCCAGGATAAGCTTACGGGTGATACCTGGACTATTCGTGCAAAGGTAAGTAAACGCCTTCTGTGTGTTTGTCACATAGTTATTGATTCTAATATTAAGGGGATTATCAACGCTACTGGGCCGTTCACAGATGCATTGCTGAAGATGGATAACCCGTCACATCAGCCTGTTGTTCAGGCGTCCTCCGGTATTCACATCACGCTTCCAAACTACTACTCATCCCGAACTATGGGTCTCCTCGACCCCGCCACATCCGATGGTCGCGTTATTTTCTTCCTCCCATGGCAGGGTAAAACCATTGCAGGAACCACCGACAGCCCTGCTGAAGTCGAGGCCGAGCCGAAGGCTGCTGAGGAGGAAATCCGCTGGGTGTTAGAGGAGGTTCGCAGATACCTGAGCCCTGACATTAAGGTTCGCCGTGGCGACGTTCTGAGCGCGTGGAGCGGTTTGCGTCCACTCGTCCGCAACCCGAATGCCGCGCGTACTGAGGGCCTCGTTCGGAACCACATGATCCATGTCTCAGATAGCGGCTTGCTCACTATCGCTGGTGGCAAGTGGACGACGTACCGTGCCATGGCTGAAGAGACAGTTGACGAAGCGGTCAAGGTGTTCAGACTCCAAGACAGGGTTAAGAGCGGATGCGTTACAGACCAGCTGCGCCTTATCGGAAGTGACGGCTGGAGCAGGAATATGTTTATTGGTCTGATTCAACGGGTACGCAATCCGGTGGAATGTACCATTTACACGCTAATCTGTTTATCTCAGTATGGCCTGGAAAGCGACATCGCTAAGCACCTATCGGACAACTATGGTGACCGCGCCTGGACTGTCCTGGAGTACGCACAACCCACAGGCAAGTCCTGGCCTCTCTACGGCATTCGCTTATGTGAAGATTTTCCTTGTGCGTTCTTACACATTTGTGCTTCGTGTGTCTGTTTTCTCAAATGCTTCCTAGTCGTTGACGCGGAGGTCCGTTACGCTGTTCGCAATGAGTATGCGCAGTCTGCGGTAGACGTCATCGCCCGCCGCACCCGTCTCTCGTTCCTGAACGCACAGGCCGCTCTGGAGGCTCTCCCTACTGTCATCGACATCATGGGCGAAGAGCTGGGCTGGGACAAGAAGCGCAAGCAAGACGAGATTGAGGGAGCGACGCGGTTCCTCGCTAGCATGGGTCTGCACCTCGGTGTCATCGAGCGGTCATACAAGGAAGAACCCGTGAAGGGCATCTTGAACACTTTACGCACAATCACCGGTCTCAAACCGATTACTGAACGCCGACCAGCCGCCGAGATGGTGTATAGTCGGGCACAATTTGATGCAGGCGAGATTGAGGAGCTACGCGAGGCGTTTGGGCAGCGCGCCATGGTCGAGCCGTCTGTGTCAGACACTGGGTCGACGTCGCTGTCGCGTGTTAGGACACGTGAGCTATTCGACCTCATCAAAGCACTTCCCAGCTTCGAGACCATCAAGCCTAAGGACTACGAATACGTCCTTGAGGAGGCGGGATTCAAGAACCAGACCGACGTCGACTTCGACGAATTTGTTGAGGTAGGTTGGATTGCTGAGGAAAGTTCGGACCGCGTACTGACCCGCCATAGATCTGTGCAGAGCTTCGCGAAGTGCTCTTTGCGCCAGTCGCTACTACAGCTAAATCCGATCGTCGCAGAATACCCGTCGAGAAAAGTGGGGGCGGTGTATGATTGCGAGTTTGCAAAGGTTTAATCTTTAACTAATCGTATGTGTATTACTATACGGATACATCACATCCGTGTCAGACAACTGCCGTCCTTGACTTGATGTCTGCGATTTAATGGGTTTTCGTCTTGGTCCTTGGCTGAGAATTCTCATTAACGTTTGTAAGCTAGCGACCGTGACGCGCGCGTTTAGTACTCCGCTAAATGCTGCACTGGAACGCGTGCGGCATACACGGGAGTGAGCCGGAAGCATGTACCTGCTTGGCCCTGACGTTGAGGTCTACCGTGACGGAGCTCTGGCTGTATGGACCCGCTCTTCCGCAACCCGAATGCTACGCGCACCTTGAAGGTCGTCGTCCTAAGTCCGGAACCGCATCATCAACGACTTCGACAACGGCTTGCTCACGATTACCAGCTGCAAGTGGATGGCGTCAGGTTTAGCACGCCATGGCTAAAGAAAGCTTGAGAAACCATCAACCAGGCGGTCATGGACCATGGTACTCTGGGACCCGGCTAGGCGGGGGGCCACCGCCCGCTCGCCCGCCTAAGAGCAGATGCGAGTCAGTTACATCTCATCGAAAGCGATACCCGGAACGCGTTTATTGGTCTGATACAACCGGTACGCGACCCGGTGGGATGTACCATTCGTACACTAACCCACACTCTTTGCAGCACTGCCTACTGAGGTGTCTGGGCAGGGTGCCAGGATTGAGCCATCAGTCTCAGAAACTACTAGCTCGACATCTTAAAGCTTTATGCGGCAGAGCTTCGCGAAGTGCTCTCTGCGCCAGTCGCCACGGCAGTTATATGTGAGCGTCGTGGGAAATATACCTGTCGAAAGAAACAGTGACGGCGTACGACTTTAAGCTCAAGGACCCGGGCCCCATGTCAAAAATGTGTCCGTTATCGTGAGTACCTCTCCTTCGATTTGTTATGGCGATATAATGGCGTCTCGTCTCAACGTCTGACTAAGAGTCTAGGAATATTCTCATCGCAAGTGCTAATGCCAAGGGATTTAGCCGCGGCAATGTCGGGTATGGCAAGATCCCCCGCTACGACTCAATTGCTGTCCAAGTCAGCGCTGACGATACGACATACGCAAGCAGAGTTTCGTGACCGGTGGCATATAAATGTAAGTCATCGCGCACCCTTGTATTTTCGAACGTGCTTTCACTACCAATATTCCGCAAACCACCATGGCCGAGCCCATTGTCTTCTACGATATCCCCAGCAATGACAGGATTAACTGCACTGCATGGTCCCCGAACACGTGGAAGATTCGGTTCATACGGCCCGCTACCATCTATGGCAAGCTGAAGCTGCTGACTTCGTTTCGTATAGATATGCCTTGAACTTGAAGGGCCTGGAGTATAAGACCGAGTGGGTTGAATACCCTGACATCGAGGGTGTGCTCAAGAAGCTCGGCGCGCCACCGACAGGCAAGAAATCAGATGGACGAGACCACTACACGTTACCGGTAATCTACGATCCGACCACGAAGAGGGTTGTCGAAGACAGCGCGAAGATTGCCAAGTACCTCGACGAGACGTACCCGGACGGGCTGAAGCTATTCCCCGCAGGTACTGACGCGTTCCAGGCGGCGTTCCACGACTTCATCTGGGAGCATGTCGGACACCCACTCCTCATGCTTGCTGCTGTCGACACGACGAGCAGCCTGCTTCCACGCAGCCAGATATATTTTCGCTCATCGCGTGAGGAGGTTTATGGGAAGAGGCTGGAGGAGCTTGGCACGGAAGAAGAGTGGCAGAAATTTGAGGCTGGCCTAGAGAAGCTTAGAGGGTACCTCGAAGGGAATAGAGAGGGGAACGGCTTGCTGCTCATGGGCGCACGCAGTGGAATCACATACTCGGATATCCAGTTTGCTGGGATGCTCGTCTGGGCTAAGGTCGTTTGGGGCGAGGAGTCGCAGAATTGGAAGAGGTTGGTGGGGCTTCATGGCGGGAAGTGGGATATGTTCTATGCGCAGTTTTCCAAGTTCGAGCAGGTTGACATCTGAATCGGTCCTCAAGCTCAAGCTTTATAATCCGCGCATACAGCAGGGTTCGTAGATTGCAATTATACGATATGCCAGGTTTGTGCAGCTGTTCTGCACGCAGGACTACATCCCTCAGTTCCAGGTAAAAGTTCGAGATGGTACGGTGTACAGCAGCGCTGGTAAGATTCGGGGTTCCGGGGGAGGGGGGCTTGCTTCGTGCACGATTAAGTCCGCCAATGCGCTCAGGAAGAAGATGAGTCGGAGGGAACACCTCCGCTATCCCGCGACCTCAGAGCCTCAAAACGACTCTTCAGAGATAGAGTGCATCTGAGACTGTGACCCTGCGTGCGTGGGTTTCATGCAGGATTGCGCGCCCGGTAAGCATATCGATTCTATCATTTGTAAAAGTTCGTGGTTGCACAAAACCCGCCTTTGTCCCATTTCCCCAATATGGGCATCACCCTTCTCGCTTTGGTGTCGCCATTTGAACTCCGCTCACCGGTCTCTTACAGTATATACTGACCGCCCTTCTGTCATAGCTTCATTTTGTTTCCCCGGCTTGCGCTGTATGGAACGACGATTGTGCTAGTTCTTTCCCGGCATGAACTCAGACGGCGCCGAGCCACATCATCTACTACGGTGTGACGCTGCCAGGTGGGACTTTTCCAGCCTAGACACTATTGCGCACACGCCTCAACGTACCTGGGCCACAGGACTCGGAAGGACACTTCTGCCAGTACGCAAACAGGCACCAACAAACACCGCAGTTATGGCCCGCTGGTGGACGGAAGGAACATCGACATGCAGTTACGTATTGGTGTGGGCAATCATATACATATCCAAAGTGCGCAGCCGCATACATTTTCATCTGGAACAATATTTGCATTGAATAGCATCTCTACGTTAAGAGTTCGGTGATACGCACAATTCAGACTTCACCGGCATTCAGGTACGTGTCCTCGAGCGGTACCACAAACATCGATCATAACTCAATCGTCCGCGTCATACATTATATAACGGAAATGATGCGGGAACGAGTCAGACCAGTACGCGAGCCTAAAAGGTGAATGTTACTGAGTTTCGTCTTGCGCGGTCACCACATTATGTCCTCTGAGCCCATTGTCCTTTACGACATCCCCGGCAGCGAGTATGCGTGCATGTCATGGTCACCGAACGTTTGGAGATCGAGGTGCGTGCGTCGATATTTTCCTGTGTCCCAACGACCTGACGACGATGGCTCCGTAGATACGTTCTCAACTACAAGGGTTTGAAATACAGGACGGAATGGACTGAATACCCCGATATCGAGGATCTCTGCAAGAAAATCGGCGCCCCTCCTACAGATAAGAAACGCGATGGGAGAGACCACTACACCCTTCCGGTCATCTACGATCCGAATACGAAGTCCGTCGTCGCGGACTCAGACGAGATTGTGAAGTACCTCGAGAAGACGTACCCAAACACACCCAAGCTCTTTCCCGAAGGAACATCAGCCTTGCAGCATGCATTCCACCAGCTTGTCCGTCCTACCGTTATGAACCCGATCCTACACATCGTCGTCGCTCGCGTGTGGAAGCTACTCCGTCCGAAGAGCCAGGAGTACTTCCGGGAGACGAGGGAGGTGTCTTTCGGGAAGAGGCTCGAGGAGATCGGAAGCGAGGACGACTGGAAAACGCTAGAAAGCGGGCTCGAAAGGGTTAAGAACTGTCTCGATACCAACGGCGAGGGCAAGAATCTACTCCTCATGGGTGATAGGATCACATGGGCTGATTTTCTGTTGGCGTCGGTGCTGATCTGGTTGCGAGTAGCGGCTGGAGAGGGCTCGGAGGATTGGAGGAGGCTCGTCAGCCTGCACGGTGGGAGATGGGCCGAGTTTATGGAGCAATTCGCGAAGTACGAGTTTATAGATATTAATTGAGTTGGGTTCATTCTGGGATTCTGGCCCAGGGCAGTCCAGCGATGTAGTTCTCGCGGTTGCGGGGTAAATTTTCAGAGGGTCAAATGATTATGTAAATAGTTTGAGTGTTTCGAGAGTCTTGTATCTCACTATAAGTCCATGGGTCGATAACTCACGAGGAGACACCAGTAATCGGGCCGCTTTCCTGCACTGCGAGCAGGAAAATATGCACTTTACATTCAGGGGGGAAAAAGAGTGGGAGAGTATTCGTACTCAGTTTTATACCCAGTTCGAAAATACATAAGCTGCATGCACACAGGTTTCCATGGACTAGGCTTACAAAATGCCTGATTTTGGCTTGAGTGAAAAGGTAATACAGACCTGCGAGTGTGCTAGACTACTAGTCCCTGAGCGCTTATAGTAGTCGTCTCGCGCGCTGCGGCGGGGCAGGTGTGTTTGAGCCACCATGCCTGTTGATCCTACCGTCTTGCACTCGAGTACACGAAGCCAGGAAAACCCTATATCTCACGTCGAATGCAAGCACGAATTTATATCAATTGCCAAGCTGCCCACTGAGCTCCTTGAGGAGGTCTTCCTGGCGTTCGCCCGTGATGGTCGTCATAGTCCAGTCGTCCTGGCCCAGGTTTGTCGCCTTTGGAGGGAAATCGCTTATGACTTAGGGTGTCTTTGGCGACACATTGATCTACAACTGCCCGAGCAAGCGAAACACCATTTGATACACTCGCAGTGGCAGACACTCGAGGTCGTATGGCTCAATCGGAGCTATGGTCCTGGGGCACGCCAGTACGACTATCGCGAGTGGCTATGGACCCATTCTCATCGCTTTGCGACACTGAGCCTTGTACACACGTCCAAAATACTTTCGATGATCTTCTGCGACATGTCGCCCTACCTTCCGGAACTCGTGGATCTGACAGTCATAGGCCAAGACATCGCTATGCACCTGCGCGTCCCCATCGGGATCCAGGCCAGTATGCCGCAGCTGCAGAATCTCAATCTCTCGTAAGTCCGCTTAACGTTTTACAGAAGGAACGTCTTAATGTCCTTTGACAGGAGTTTAAAGGTAGCTGCCGACGACCTCATTCAACTATTGGGCAGATGCTCGGCTTTGAAGAAAATAGAGCTTATCGGCATCACTCTGGGTTTTACCAGCGTAGAATTTGACCATCTCCTTGGCGAGCCGTCAGTCACCCTCCCTAAACTCAATGAAATGAGTCTCGTTTCGCTGCATTCAAATTCCCAGTGCTTCATCGTCAGCCGGCTCAATCTTCCGCCCCGGTCCTCTCTCCGGGTCACAGGAACTATGAGTGACCTTCATCTGGATGCCGTCTTGCATCGCGACATCTTTTCGCTCTTGCAGCCATGCTTCACAATGATAACACTTGGTGATTATTCGGTGGTGCTCTCCGAGGCGCGAAACGACAAAGGATGTGCGGTGACGCTGGAACTTCTTGTATCCCTCGACCACGGCTGGGATGGCACTGTGATTCTTCCTCTACACGTTGGGGATTTGTCTTCAGTGCGAATCTTAGAATTCGCTGGACCTGTGCAGCAAGCTCGGTTCGACTGGCGAGCGTTAGTTGACCGTGCTCGTGCGCTTGAGGCCGTCTGGCTTCAAGACGAGAATGGGGCACGTGCTGAGATGGGTGTCGAGGAATATCGAACTAGGTACGCAGATCTTGCATGTTCCGGTGAGCGCATACTCGATTAAATCCGTATACCAGATATTTGGGCGCAGCTGGGCAAAGCAGGGGGTTCCCTGCAGAAGAAGCGTAGTGCTGCAGCAGCGGGAATTGAACCAAGCAATATGCCACCCAGTACGTACTTGTCACTTATTTTAAATAACGGCTCAACCTATCATACACGGTAGTAACTCGAGCACGGCTACATGCGATAGACTCCGTCGACCTGTCAGACTTCAAAGCTCCATGCTGAATGACCACGATACGCACACACTACCTGGCGTTTCCGAAGTTGCAAAGCGTTATCTCTTTATAAGCAGCTAAATGATGGTAAAGTCTTCTGTGTTTAATTTCTCCCAGAAGGCTCGCGGTCACTGCCACGAAGAGATTACATTTAGCAAGTCGAAACAAGGTTTAGGTCCCAATCAGATGGGCCACAGCATATTGCGATGATCATCATGGGCTTTATACTCTCGCAACTTCTCACGAGCCACCATTTTCCCGCTGTCAGCTTGCGGGACCATACCACTGCCACGATGTCCGACGGAGCTATCACCAACTGATGATTCCTGACACCATTATGTACGAGACCCACCCGTGTGCTCATCAGCGATGACTCTCTGCCCACCTCTCGCTCCACTACGCTCAGAGCTCACCAGCTTCGTCAGGACATTAGTGTCTTGATCACACCCCGAATCGACTGTGATGCCTTCCATGCGACACCCATATGCCAACACACGGTATCTCAGCCAGTCGCTCTCGACGGATGCCCTAGACAGTTGGCTGCAGCTCACGCCAGATACGGAGGCCGCGCCGGAACAGCTGCGGGCGATGCCTCAGCTGCATCGTACAGGCTCGAGCTATATGTCTGCACCGTCGGACAGGTCCTCGGATGGGTTGCCCCGCGTTGACGTCTGCATGTCGTCATTCGCCTCTGAGAGTTCTGGACATTTCGTGAAGCATTCGAGCAGTGCGACGCTATTATTGAGCGGTCAGGAGGATGGCAGGTCTGAGGCAGAGTATACGAATGGCGCAACCATCGAGGGTATCCTTGCGGTCCCCAGACCGTCAGGCCTGCTCTCTCTGCAGGTTAGGGTGAGTCAGTTCCTATCTACAGATCTTGAAGCGCTTCATATCACGGCACTTCAGGTCGAAGGCAGTATGAAGTTGCAAGAGACGGCGGGGAGCGGTTCGTCTGCGTTGCAGATTATTAACGATCTAGCATTCGAGTGGGATGCGGAACACAACGCTACATTCCCGAGCAAGGTCACCTTCCGGTACACTCTACCCACCCATTACTCGCACGACTTGACGGGGGAACGCTTTCGTCTACCACCGAGCTATCGTGCGCATCTCAGCGGGGTACCAGGGCTCAGAGTGGATATCTCATACGCCGTGGCGGTGTACATCACGCGAAATCGGAGTAAGGCAAATTGGTGGCGGAAGAGTACCAGGTATGCTCTCCGTCGACATCCTCGCGTGTCTCGCGCTCATTGTCCCGCATAGCCTCCGCGTGCCGTTCACATACAGAGAACTGTCTCGTCCGACGCTCGCCGGCCCCTTCGTCGCCAATCTGACGAAGACCCCGACGATACCCCGCACGGTCTTCCGATATACAGCTGAATCACGTCGGAACAGCTGGGATGATATTAAAGTCGAGGTATGTCTATACTAGGTTCTGTACAACCCTCGCACACGCCTCATGATCCAGCAGCTGTATCTGCCGCACTCACAGATATGTTCGATGTGTGACTTGATTCCCTTCTCCGTCACATTCTTCGCACCCGAAGAGGTCTTGTGCAGGTACACCACCTTCCGTCCGTCCCCCGAATCATTCCATCCGTTGGCTTCGCCTGTTGCTGATTCGGCCAACTATGTACCGGGTCAGTTGTTCAGCTGCTTTATGCCCTGCCCATCACCCGTCCGCCTGCAACTCCTTCGGCGGACAACGGTCGACGTGCTCGCGGCTGGTGTGTACGCAGCACCTAAGGAACGCACGGACATAACGACTACCAAGGTCCTCGCGAGCGGCATCGTGTACAGCGCAAGCAGAGGCATGAACTCCGCCGTGTGGTCCGGACACGTCATAGTCCCCAACAAAGTCGGCTGCGGCGGGTTTGTGGCGAAGGGGATCAGGGTGACGGTGCGCAGTCGTCTCACGAGTCTGGGAAGTCTCACTGACGTTCGTGTGCGACAGGACTGTTTGGTGCTGACTCTCGCACACCCGAGCTCCCTGCGCAACGAGTATGCAGAGTTCTACCAGAGCGTACCCATTCGCTTGACTACGCAGACATACGACCGCAGTGACGGAGTTCTCACTATTTCGGATTGGTCGACTCTGTAGGAACGGCAAATGAAATCTTGCACCTGAACGTTGCGGATGACGACTCTGTATGGACATCGTAAACCATCAGCCTATGGACCTTTAAAAGCTTCAAAACTGTACCTGTATCCGCAGCATCGATCAACTCGCCACGGCGCTGAGATTCCTCTTGAACTTATGAGCTACCTACGGCTGTTACAAAGTGTTTGTAAATGTAATACGCGAAGATCGCGACTGTTCCTTTGGGACAAACTCGGCTTGCGGGGATGTCTGAGGTCCAATATGACGAGTTCGCACAGCGCGCAGCAGCTGGCTACCAGTGGCAGGGGTCCCGCAGCGCGACGCGAAAAAATCCAGTTGGGCAAAACTGCGACTCTGAGATAGCGTGCGACGGTTTTCACACCGTCTGTACGCGGAGGGAGGTGGTGTGAACGGTACGTTTCTGTGGCTGAGAAACGACAGGCGGAGCGCTGCCATAAGTCAACCAGTCACGGCCGAGCTGATGATGAGGTGTTCCAGGGACCATATGGCTCCTATGCTGAGGCGGGGCATGGCACGGCATGCACCATGAAAACCACTCCGCGTATTATCCTCTTCCGGCCTTCCTGTTCTTCTTTCCCTCTGCCATGTCGACCACTAGTCTTCCCAGTTACACCGCACCCCTCCTCGGTCGCACCCCAACATACACCGCCGAGCCCCAAGCTTCCGAGCAGCGTCTCGCCCTCAGCGTGCTCCAACCCCGGCCCTCGGGCGAGTTCACAAAGCAATCCAAGGGCGGAGGTGTCAGTTTGAGGCTGTTCGCACAGGAAAATGGCACTGCGTTGCCGACGTACGGGCACAGTGCCTCTATTGACGGCGCCATTGATATTGCGAAGCCAGAAGGCGTGAATGCAGTCGAGGTCAAAGTGCGTGGCCGCACATTCTCTAAGGTGTCTAGCGTACTGAGCAATGCTGTAGATCAAGGGTACCCTCAGATTGAAAGAGATTGCTGAGGGTGGCACCGCCACGCACGAGCTCGCGCTCACCAAGCTCTCATTGTGGAACAAGGACAGGGATGGCGGACAGTGTCCTACATCTCTCCCGTTCAGCCTCGGCCTCCCTCCTACCTTTAACGACGGAAAAGATGACTATGTACGTGCTCTTCGTGCAGCAGCTCTCTCCGAACTCTCATCTGGCAGTCAGCCGCTACCACCAACATTCGAGGCGCACCTCACGGGTATGCCCGGGTTTAGGGCAATAGTTGGTTATTCGGTATCTGCAATGGTGGACAGAGGCCTCGTGAAGAAGGCCGCTTCGACCTTCTTCCCAAAGCCACAAATTGAGTGAGTTTGGCTTCATTTCGGGCTGCACCATGCGCTCACATCACACAGTTCATCGGTATCAACGGATTTCATCTACTTCCCCCGATCGCGACCAGCTGTTCCATTACCGCCACCCATGATGCTGGTACACAGCAACCCAGGAGTCTTAGAGAGTTCGGAATGGCGCTGTTTCGAAAGCCGAATCCCTGCGAGGACCGTGGGCGTGACTGACATCATCACAAAGGTATGCGTCCTACCTACGCAGAGCTTCTGGACGCTTACCTACCGGGACTTCCCCTGCAGCTATACATTCCGGCCTCGCGGGTGTATTGTATGTCCGAGCCGATACCGTTCCACCTGTCGCTCGTGTCCTCGGCGTATTCTCTCGCAGCGTTTATGCCATATGGTCCCACGGCATCACTGTTAGCCCCTCACAAGCAGCACACGCAGATACGGCTCCTGCGTCAGTCTATTGTGGACGTGAGGTGGGCCACATGGCACCTGGCTTCTGAGCGCATGGGCAACTGACACCCCATAGAAACACGGTTGTGTTCGGCACCAAGACCGACATCTGGCGAGTTACTTGCATTGGAACAGGCACCTTCGCCCGAGGGGTACGTCAGCTCGAACGTGTGACACCGATAGTTTTGGAGCTGACGCGAGCGCAGTCTGATGGGCCCGACTTTATATCTTTCGCCGGTGAGATTCGGATAGCGGAAGACCTCAAAATTCCTGGGTTCAAAGCAGGAGGTCTCCTAGTAAAAGTACGTGCCCAGCGCAGTCTCGTGATCACTGTCTTGACGTGACTCGTCTCAGGACTGTATCGTACTGACCATGGTACCGCCCGACGTCACAAAGTCGCCCTTCGATGAGTTGCGCTGCGTCGTCCCTATGAGACTTGTAACAGACCCGTGGACGAACGACGGAAGTGGGACATTTGAACCATCGGAGTACTCTTCCCCATCAAGTGAGGAAGACGCGACCTCGCAACGATTTGTTGACTTCCATGGCCAATGACCTCCGTACCACGCGCATCCAGCAAGGTAGCACATGGAATGGAAATTCTAACAAACTAATTTATCGTGATGTGTAAAACGTATTGACTGTACCATCTGTTCTGTAACATCGATACCCTCGTGCTTGGAAGTAGCCACGAGATATATACGTGACTTCAGCCTGGGCATCTTCCTGGCAGAGATCATTGCTTGCGCTGCACACATATTTCAAGCTTGCCTGTTGTGCAAACCACCTTTTTCGTCATACTAGGTTTGGACGGCGCCGGTCGAGCGACATGTCAGACAGACATTTTGGAAGAATGCTTCGGTTGGGCATGTTGGTCGGCTAAAGACGTGGCTTGGCGACAGCCGCCGAGACTTTGCTTTCTCGTCCACATTTCAAGTCTAATGTCTCACTTTCCCTGTGCAAAGTGGACAGCCTGACTATCCTTGTGAGGTGCATCGGCTTCTGGCTGCTGCACCCCGCGTTGGAACATCCGTGATTGGCGCAGTGGGGATGACCGAGTGCGCATGGTCACTGCCGGAGAATTACAACGAAGAAGACAAGTGACCCGCGGACAACGCTTCCAGGATCCGCTCGCTCTAAATTCGCGTGCTTGCATGTTCAGCTGACTTCGCCGTCGTCGTATATAGCGCGATGCGTGCGCAGTGGTGCTCATCATCGAACGAGCCCACACAAACATGCGTTTCCTGGTGCTCACTAGCCTCGCGTCGCTGCTGACGTCCGTCCTCGGACAGTCAAGTAGCGTCGACTCGTATGTCGCGTCGGAGTCGCCCATCGCGAAGGCGGGCCTCCTTGCGAACATCGGACCCAGCGGCGCCAAGTCGAGCGGTGCGAAGGTTAGTCTGCCCGCCAGGTTCGGAGAAGCTCATTGCTGAAGACGCTCTGCTCTTTCAGGCGGGCGTAGTCATTGCGAGTCCAAGCACGACCAACCCGGACTACCTCTATACCTGGGTCCGCGACTCGTCTCTCGTATTCAAGACCATCATCGACCAGTACACCTCCGGCCAGGACACGTCCACGCGCAGCCTCATCGACGAGTTCGTCTCGGCAGAGGCGACACTGCAGCAAGTCACCAACCCCAGTGGCAGCGTGACCACTGGCGGGTTGGGCGAGCCCAAATTCAACATCGACGAGACTGCTTTCACTGGTGCATGGGGTCGTCCGCAGAGAGGTTGGATTTTAGAAACCTGCCGCGACCTGATGAGTACTCACACGCCGGGGCAGATGGGCCCGCTCTGCGTTCGACTGCGATCATCAACTATGCGAACTGGCTCATTGCCAACGATAACTCTTCTTGGGTAACCAACAATCTCTGGCCCATCATCAAGCTTGACCTCGACTACGTCGCGAACAACTGGAACCAGTCTACGTGAGTTGCTTTTGATGCAACACGTTAGTTTAAGAGTTCTTATCGTGCGCATAGATATGATTTGTGGGAAGAGGTGGACTCGTCTTCTTTCTTCACGACTGCAGTTCAGCACCGCGCTTTGCGCGAAGGCTCCACTCTGGCCACGAAGATCGGCCAGACCTCCGTTGTCAGCGGATACAACACCCAGGCTGACAACCTTCTCTGCTTCTTGGAGGTAAGTGAAGTACGAGTTGAGATGTCAGACAGACGTTGATTGATTGCATGCAGTCATATTGGAACCCTAGCGGGGCCTACATCACAGCTAACACTGGCGGCGGCCGTTCTGGCAAGGATGCGAACACGGTGCTTGCCTCCATCCACACTTTCGACCCTGCCGCTGGATGTGATGCGACCACCTTCCAGCCATGTTCGGACAAGGCGCTTTCGAACCTGAAGGTCTATGTCGATTCTTTCCGCTCTATCTATGGTGTCAACAGCGACATCGCATCCAACGCCGCTGTCGCAACTGGCCGCTACCCCGAGGACGTCTACTACAACGGCAACCCCTGGTACCTCGCGACATTCGCCGTGGCGGAGCAGCTGTACGACTCCCTCATCGTGTGGAATGCGCAGGGCTCCCTGACAGTCACGAGCACGTCCTTGCCATTCTTCCAGCAGTTCTTGAGCAGCGTGACTGCGGGCACGTACGCCTCGTCGACATCCACCTTCCAGACGCTCATTACCGACATTAAGACCTTCGCGGATGGCTTTGTCGCGATGAACGACAAGTGCACGCCATCTGGCGGAGGGCTCTCGGAGCAATACGACAAGAATACTGGCAGCCCAATCAGCGCAGCCGACCTCACCTGGAGTTATGCTTCTGCCCTCACGGCTTTCGCCGCTCGCAGCGGCTTCGCGTCTCCCGGATGGGGCGCCCAAGGGCTGTCTGTCCCCGCCACCTGTTCAGGGAGCTCCGGTCCCACTGTGGCAGTGACCTTCAATGTTCAGGCCACGACTGTATTGGGAGGTCGGTACCAGGATCGAAAGGTATGCCTATAATGCGATGCTGACAATGTCACAGAGAACATCTACATCACTGGTTCCGTCGACGCGCTTGAGAACTGGTCGCCGACCAGCGCCCTTCTTCTTTCGTCTGCTAACTATCCGACCTGGAGCAGTGAGTTCGCTTGTGCCAACTGAATGACGCAGAAGCTGACCTGCCCCTGTAGTCACTGTCAATCTTCCCGCGAACACCGTTATACAATACAAGTACATCCGGAATAACGACGGCTCTATCACCTGGGAGTCCGACCCAAACAACCAAATCACAACTCCCGCCAGCGGTAGCTTCACCGTCAACGACACCTGGCGGTGAATGTTTGCATACTTAGGACTCTTAGTGTTGTCTCCGAGCAGACATGGATAAAGAATGGAAAACCATCAGATCGAAGGAATCCTCCTTCACATGATTATCAATTCAGCATAATCTGACTTCGCACCAGCGTTATGTGCTGACCGAAACGTTCAACGTTCAATATAATTCAATGTGGGGCTGACCTCTTGATCAAGTTTCCTGCCAGTGTATGACTTCATATCCCTCGTTTCTGCCCCGAGTGCGGAACCCTGAGAAAGCCAAGCCTCGTTGTAAATTCTATGCTTTCTGAAAACTGCTCGCAGATCGCCGCAGTAGCTTCGGGGTCGAGCGCGGCTTCCAGAGCGTCGCTGGAGCCTTCGAGGTGACCAGGGGCCGTGACAGTAACGAGGTCATAGAGAGTGACCGTGACGAAGCCCAAACGTTAATGAGCCTGGCCTGCAGCGCCCTTCCGCACCGAACACACACCTCCTCTTCCTCACGACAACACCTCTTCCTTGTCTGCGACTGTGTAGATGAACAACCTACCGGTCGTCTATATCCTTTTTCTATCCCTCATCCTGCAGGCAAACGGCCATCCCATCGACTGGTTCCGCAAACTCTCTACGAGTGCCAGACATGACACCAGCTGGCTATGGGGCTGGGCGTGGGCAGCTGACGGGACAGTATCGGTCGTGGATCGATCCCCTCCACTAATATACCCTGCACGACCGGCCTCGTTTGGCACGGAGCTCTCTGACCCACTGCTTGGATACGTTATACCCCTCTCCGCGTTCACGTCACCATGCCCTGTAAGCAACACTTCGACGTCGTATCCATCCATGCCAGACCCTGTGCAAGGTTGTCCGGAGCTTTGCGTTGATGGACCGAACCAACCGGAGCGTTCTGAGACCTGGATCGCGCTTGTGCAAAGAGGCGGGTGTCCTTTCGTAGAGAAGGCGCGACAGGCTCAGAGGCTGGGGGCCAAGGCAGTCGTCGTAGGCGGCGACAGGGAGAATCCGAATGCTCTCCTTAACATGTATAGTGAACGTGAGTGATTTATTGCCTTGCACGTGATATTTAATTCATCTCATAATAGAGGACCCTTCCGACGTCACGATTGCTGCAACCTACATCAAATATTGGGACTATGCGGAGCTACTCGCTCTAATTTCTGCGTCAAATACTTCTCATTCTGGCCTTCGGACGGTGTCTCTCCAGCTCAGCACGGAGTATTCTGCGTGGGAATGGTACTCGTACGTCCGCGCCACTTCTTCACGCACCAGTCCCCTGACTTCTGCACAGGCCGATAATAACATTCGTCGTCATTCTCCTACTTCCGTCCATTCTTACCTTCATCACCCTCTTGATACACCGCATCCGAGCCGCGAGAGCTGCCCAGCGGGATCGGGCACCGGAAGATTTTGTACACAGTCTCCCTTGGCGGGTTTGGACAGGGAATGGCTGGGAGAAGCACGATGCAGGCCTCCAAAACGCTGAAGACCCTTCCGAAGATCCGTCGTCCGGACCGGAGCCCGATATCGAGCGCGACACGATTGCTCAGTCCTCTTCGAGAGAGGCATCTGTAGAGCCTTCTTGGGTGGATGGGCAGATGGAATGTGCGATTTGTCTGGATATGTTTGCAAAAGGAGACCGCGTCCGGGTCTTGCCTTGCAACCACCTATTTCACATGAACGAGATCGATGAATGGCTCATAACGAAGAAGAAAGTTGTACGTATAATGCTCCTCCTGTGAACCTGTGCCATGTCTAATTACGTCTTGACAGTGCCCTATCTGTAAGGCTGATATCACGAAACCGAGGCCAGCGCCGGATCACGAACACTCGCAGCACGACTCGTCTGCCCAACATCTTTCACCAACACTGCCTCAACCGCCGACGGAACGCTCTCCCCTGTTGCCTCACTGACACGGCGCTTACACCCTATTCATCGTGGACCGCAGGCCCTCGGCATAATAAATATTCGCTAATATCCCGCAATTGACAGTTATCGGTCATTTTCTCGAGGTTGTATTCTACCCTATATCCTCACGTTGACCTCCACTTACCACACTGTAACACATTAATACTAGTCTCGCGTCGGACTTCCTGTATTATCCACGCTCGCACTAATGTAAGGCGCTCAACAAATTTGAGTCATCTCGGTTGACAGCAAGAACGCAACCGATTCGGCTTGCCTCGCGTATTCCCCACACGGATGCAGCCTGGAACTGATTATTCCTTCCCATCTGGGACCAGTCCTTAGACCTCAGGGGCAATAGGTGTCAGTGGCCACACCGACTGTTACAGATACGATACGAACGATCGTCGTGAGTCTCTTGTGTTACTGTAGCGCGGGTACTGTACCACTCACTTGGGAGTCAAGCGTGGGTACAGCTCTTCGTTACGGCAGTACCAGCGAAGGTGATCCCAATATGATTCTTTTCAGGAGTCGATCTCATGTTTCATATCCACCAGATTATGCAGTGTTGTTTTATTTTTGCGGGATTCTATGGTATTGGCGGGCTGGTCCATTGCCAGCTGGGCTGCACAGCGCGTATGACCACGAGGCAGCATAGCATGGAGCAGTCAGCAACACATTCCGTGCTGCATTGTCAATGCGAACAGACAGTCGCCGCAGCGCAATTCTTTCCGCCTTTCCGCCTCCGGCTCCTTGCGTACATGATGGTCCGTCGTTCGCGTGTCCGACTTTCTCGGCGCTGGTTACAGTTGGATGACAGCGTGCGGCTGCAGAGCCACAGTAGGTGCCCGAGGAACCTCGGATCTCGCCCACAGGCATCATTGCATTATCCACAGTTGGCCCTCTATTGTGGAACCTGCCCTGGGCAGCTCCAGGGTTTACAGTAAGCACTCACCCGCTGCGCTGTCGGCGCTTTGCCATCTGTTCACCTAGACCGTGTTGCGGTCCGCACCCCCGTTTTTGTCGTTAGCTGCTAGGAGCCCCACGACTAACCGCAACAGCGAAAAGCCCGGAGAACAGCGTGGCCCAGACCGCGACATCTGCTAGGATAGTTCATGCGACGCTGCCGAGGCCAGCATCCCGCGTGAGTTGGCCGGGAGCGTAAGTTTGGCCTCCTCTGGGTTCGCGACCACGTTCTGATCAGCACTCGACACACGTGGGGGTGTCGGATGTATTGCATCGGAAGATACGACGTCGCGGTGGCCATGTCGTGCTTGACAACACCCGGAAACGGCGAACAGGGCTGCTCTGATGAGGTCCTGGAAGCTTAAAGGCGTGCAAGGCAGCGTCCAAACCCGAGGCGCATGTGGAATTTTCCGTGCAACGCCCGCTTCTGTTGCTAGATGTGCTTCCGAACCAACTGCAGCGCAGGGTCCACCGAGCGCGCGCCGCAGGTCGCAACAGTCTGCACAGCGACGGCCGACGCCTCGAAAGTACTGCGTCCGCCCATAAGCGCCAGTGGGTGTACCATTCCCTTATCAGTGTTAAACTCGAAATTTCAGGCTTATTGTTTTCCGTCATCAGGGAACTTTTCACCCAGAAGTGGATGGCGTGTTACAGGCGATGATATCGAGATTTGCAGTCTGTGGCCGTGGAAAGTGATGTGTCCCCCAGCTTTTATGCTGTCTACACGCACTCACTTATGTACTACTTGCTGACTCCCAGCGCGACAAATGTCAGATAAGGTAAAGTTCACACATTACATGTCTACTCGCGACCGTCGTACAAACAATTGAGGGAGAGAAACGTGTGCCGCCCAGCCACACTGGCGTGTCCTCGTCTGCCGCCTGATGTTATTGTTTCGGTCATTTTCGATCACCCGCGGAAATTATGGCACGTCTCACCAGTCTCTCAGGAACTTGTCCGTCCGCTGGACAAAAGGTTTCCTCAGACGCCGAAATAAACTCGATTTTGACTCATCCTTCCTTTGGAGCATACACTTGCAACAGCCCCGATTGGCTGTTCTTCCAACAGCCCGGAAAGCCGGTGGGACTATAAGATCGAGAGATGGGTTAAGTAAAGAGGCCACTTCCTTCGAAATTCTCCTTCCGCGCAGTCATATATTTCCGCTCACTTCTTCACGCCCAGGCCTTCTACCTTCTTTCGTATAAAAGATATTGTGACGCAGAGACGGCGCCAGCCGTCGGCTTGCTCCAACCCCGTTATACACGGTAGGCAGGAATTAGTGTCGACTAAGCCAAATGTTGCTGACGAGGCAAACAGTATACATCTACCCATGGGCTGCCCGACTACCACTTACTTGAAGACCCCGCTCATCGACGGAGGTACAGCTAATTCGGAACCGGCGAGCGATCGCACTCTCCAGAATTCAGCTTCACAGTACAATGGTATGACCCACCCCCAAGTGCTCTTTGCAGCCCGATGCTGAAGTACTTCTTGCTGTAGGCAAAAGGTTCCGGAACGGTGTTCGGAGTGCTTGCAAGTACGGAGACAATTACGGCTTTGTCAACGCAGCGCCAAACCTCGTCGTAGTGGTCCCGCCTTGCGGCGTGCCCTGCCAAACGTACTACGGGCTTCATACTCCCTTGGTTCGAGACGCCGTGCTCGTCACCCCGCAGCTGTACTTTCCGACTCATCCAGATTTCCGCGGTGACATGGACCAGATTGAGCAAGGGTTGCGAGGCATAAAACTGAAAGGACAAAGCGACGCCGCACTTATGGCCCATGCAGATGCATCGATCCCTGCTCCACCCTCGACTCCGTCTTCTACCACCACAGACACCGACCTGTCTTCGCCCCAGTCTTTTGTTTCAATGCACCTCGCCGGATCTGAGGCTTCTAGCACACTTGGCAAACGCGAGTCCGACTCTCGGCAGTGTGCGAATAGCGGAGGCAGCTTCTATAGAAGTAGGCCTTTCACCTTCCTCCCGTCACATAACCTAACCTATGTTTGCAGCGAAGCCGTGTAAATTCTTCCACGGGAATGGGACGTGTGTGAAAGGTAACAAGTGCAACTTGTAAGTTGTACTGTCTTGAAGTTATGCTCCAGCATTTATCTACCTGCCACAGTATCCACGACCAGAATCAAGCTCGTCATCCGTCTCAGTCGCCCGACGTGAGTAGTTCGTCCATGAGCCGCCGCCGCCGTGCTGCAAAGCGGGCGCAGGCGAAGGCCGAGGAGGCCGAGAAACGAAGCAACTACTACCCTATAACGTGGCGCGTGATCGGCGGCGGCGTCATGATGGGCGGCCAACGTACGTGGCGGACTCTTCTCTTCTCTCCGATGACATGGCTGACGGCTCCGCCTCTAGGTGAAGTCTGCCAGGCATCCTTGTCTGGCGAGTGTTCCGTAGGCCCTGACTGCAAGTTCTCGCATCCTCTTCAAGAAGACAAAGAGCTGCACGGATTGCCCGACGCGTTTTCGCCGTCGCATTACGACTCCACCAAACATTTCTCGCGTATCTCGCCTGTCTGTCTGGGCCACCCTGTCATGCACTGCCAGGCGCCCACACCTCTGCCAAGGGAAATGAAGGTATCGGCCTCTGGCTCTACCATCATAGAGGTTCAGAATATACCGGGCGCTGAATCGGCCGTTTTGGACGGGTCCACACTTCTTCCGCGACGGGACGTTGTGGAAGATGACACAAATGCTCCCACAGCCGATGCTCCGTCGACGGAGTATGCTCTCCCTTCCGCGAGAACCATCGTACGGCCTGTGTCAACCCCACCTGCGATGAAGGTGTCCACAGTTTCGATCGTAGGAGTGAGTGCTACTTTATCTCTCCTCGGGCAGCTAGCTGACAGACTACTTCAGCTGTTTCAGGCGGAAACATCATGGTAACTTCCTTCCCCTGGCAGCGTCATCGACTCTGCCCCGCGCTGGGAATAATCGGCATTCGCAATATGTGCTCGTCCCTCCACATGCTTTTCTTACATATCTTTCTATCATTCCGCCTGTCCTCATATCATACACCCTTCTTCGATCTACCAAGAGCCTCACTCCTTTTGGCGTGACAACTCCGCTGACCCATACCCATCCCTTCCATGTAGCGCTGCCCTGACACCCCTACCCGACGGACTCTCAATTTCATGTATGTTATATCCTACTACACTAGACTTTGCCCTAGGCGTATACCACCCACTGTATCCAGTTTGCAGACTTACTCGCGATATATATTGACATTATCGTCATCTTTGCTCTGCGGTGGCCCAGTCCGCGGACATTGACGAGTATAATATTAGTGCCATGTGTGAGCCGGGCGCTTGTTGCAGCCCATCGGGTGCCTTATCGTCGACCACTTGGCCATACCTCCCGCTCTCATGGACAGAGACAGTCTTATCCGCACCCACCATCCACCGCCATGTTCTCAGCCCTTGCTGGCGGCGTAGCCCTCCTTGGGCTCGCTGCATCTTCCGTCGTGAGCGGCGCTCAGCAGCCATTCGCACTCAGCGGCGGCAAGTTCGAGTCATACGACGCGGGACTCTTCAGCCCCGTGGAGGACCTCGGCCTGCTATCCACCTCAGAGTTCACGGCCCTCGCGCACCCGACGTTCCCCAATTACAACGTGCGTATCAAGAAGTCGGATTTCTGTGACGGGACTGTGAGGTAGAGTGGCATTTCCGATGTGCCGACTTCCCGATGCTTAGCCCCAGATATCCAGGGCCTTCACCGGGTACATCGACATCGAAGCCAGACATCTATTTTTCTATTTCTTCGAAAGCCGGAGCAACCCTGACAAGGACGATGTCATCTTCTGGACGAACGGCGGACCTGGATGCTCCTCTTCGCTCGGACTGTTCATGGAACTAGGTATGGCCTGCTGCGCGTGCCGACGCGTCTTTTGCTGATTCTCACGTGTCATCCCGTCAAGGACCCTGCAGAGTCAATGATGTCCACAACGTTACTTTCAATCCTTATTCTTGGAACGAGAACGCAAATATCTTCTTCATCGACCAACCTATCGGTGTCGGCTTCTCATATGCAGACCACGGAGAATATGTTGTAAGTGACTCTCTGTGGAATATCCCGTCCATTTGCGTTCTGATTACTGTCCGAAGAGCACGACCGAAGACGCTGCAAAGGACATTGCCGCTTTCGTGGCGATCTTCTTCGAACACTTCAGTAGCTTCAAGGGCCGGGCGTTCCACATGGCAGGAGAGTCATACGGAGTACGTCATACTGTTTGTCTTTCGTTTCTCGGAGCTCACAATCCTCGCTCTCAGGGGCGCTATGTTCCAGCCTTCGCCTCTGCCGTGTATGACCAGAATTCCAGGTTAGTCGCGGTCGGCATGGCGCCGATAAACTTGAAGTCTGTGATGATAGGTAGGTGCTTACGCTGGACAAAGCTAGTCGCATCTCATCATGAACTGTTAGGAAATGGCTGCACGGATTGGAAGACGATGTTTCCAGCGTACTACGAGATGCAGTGTCAGCCCAAGACCATTGACCCTGTGGTCGATATCAGGTAAGACAGCGCACTTCGCCTGAGAGCAGATCTGAACCTGTGACTATAGTTCGTGCGTTGGAACTAAGCAAGCGGTATTAATTTTGTCTAGCCCATGTGAATGCCTTCATCGATTAACATCTTCATAGCTCCTCCGTTGCGAGAAGCGGCTGAAAGAGGATTGCTATGATACCACTGATGCAATCAACTGTCAAGCAGCTCTCTCCTTCTGCCGAGACCACATCGAATCACCATTCTGGACTGCAGAACGTAACCCCTACGACTTGACGAAGTCATGGTATGCCATCGTTCGGCTTTGTTGCCACACGCTGTGCTGAACTGCTCTCCGCACAGCAATGCAGACGAAATGAGCGATTCACTCTGCTATTCCCTGATAACGTAAGTGTCTTGTTCGCTGGTGATACATGCTCCGATTGTCTCATTTTTTCTTTCAGGAAAATCAGCTTATTTCTCGATCGCACTGATGTCCGCAAGACTTTGGGCGTAGATCACAGCGTACAAGGCAATTTCTCGTCGTGCAACGGGAACATCCTTAACCGCTTCGGCTCTGCGCTGGACGGCATCTTCCCTGCTGACTACTACATTGAGGCTCTGCTCGAACGTGGCGTCAAGGTGCTCATTTATGCTGGCGTGAATGACTGGATCTGCAACTGGGTATATCACATACTGCGACCTTCCATATCTACTAACAAGACCTATACAGGTCGGGAACGAACAAATGACTTTGAATCTTGAGTGGACTGGCAAGAAAGCATTTGCTTCTAAGCCGCTTCGGGACTGGCAGGTCAGCGGCCGCGCCGCCGGCGTCACCCGCAGCTCGGGCCCCTTGACCTTTGCCACTATTTATAACGCTGGGCACATGGTGCGTCTTATTGTGTCTGGCCATGGCTAGTTGTGGACTCACGTGCTGTGGCAGGCACCATATGACAAGGGCGAGGAGTCTCTGGAGCTAGTCAAACGTTGGCTGGCAAATGACGAGCTCTGAGACTTGCGGCCGAGAAAGTTCTGTCCCTAGTGTTTTTGTCTCTAAATTCAGAAGCATGGGTTCTGTAACTAAGACAGACGGTACACAGTTGTTTTTAAACTTAAGAACCTGAGCGATTTCGGGCCTCCGGCTCAGGAACCGAAAAATGCTGACAGTCCGCCACAGGACGAGCACTATGCCTGCACCTCAAGGTTGCGGCAAGGATAAGGCTTCTTATTTTACATATATTCTGAGAGCAAATCTTGCTATTTGGCTCTTGAGTGCATATACCTGCACCCGCCGCAAGTTCACCGACGTCGAATACAATTAGCGCTGCCGGTGTGCCTCAGGCTGCCGGATGCCAAAGAACTGTGGGCTGCTGCGATCGGCTTGTCTTCCCCTCTTGATCAATAAGCCATGATTTTTCTTATACATGTCGCATGTGGAAGTATACACTCGATGAATGGATGCAAGCGGAAGCTTCAGCAACGAAGGCCATCGAAGTTTCAAACCTCCTACCACGTGTTCAGGGACTTCGTGGCGTTTGGCGCCGAGGCAGCTTTCGGTTTGGCCGTCGCGTCAACCTGGCATGACTACGCAGAGCGATACGTCGTCAGGTGAACATACGCGACGAGCTGCCAGTGCCAATGCTACAGCACTTCTACGGATGACAAACAAATGCTGTATTGACTGTCCCTATATCTCTTCCAGTCACCCCGTCAACGCAACCATGTCCCGATATCTCGTCGGTACCCTCCCCAGCATCCTGACCTGTGTGTCCCCTGTTAAAGGGCGTCCAGTCACCAACTCCAAGCACTCAAAGTTTGGCAAATTGGATGTAGTATCGAACAACCTTTCCCAGTCGCTTCGAGTGACTTCGTCTTCTAGAACAAAGACACAGTCCCTGTGGAGGTCGACCCGGACGCGCCGCAAGGTCACAGGTGCGTTTTCGAGCACAGATGAAACGAGGAAGTTCCAATCCTGTCATATTACGCAGATTTAGTCTTGTCAAAACGCGAGAAGGAAGGGAAACACACTTCATAGCGTGTCAGCGGAACCTCTACATACCGCAGCATTGCAGAGCTACTTAGGACCGGCAACGCGTCTTTCGCTGAGCAGTGATAGGTAAGTCGCTGTTTATAGGTGGAAAAGTGGGCCTTACTCATGTTAACTACACTCATGGGCATGTTCCTGTACCACATGAACCGTATGGACCGCAACACATCGTTCGTCAAGACCACAAACGCGTTCAGATAAGCAAGATTGGCTGTGGGATATCCTGCAATAAACACAGCCTCAATCTCCTCCAGACGCGAGGGTCCCACCAAGAGCGGTGCCAGATGCTTCAGGAACGCCATATCTCCTGACACTGAGCGCGCCGACCTGGAGGTCTCTGGTCCCCTTGATGGTCGACAATACGGGTACGCTGCATCCGTCGATCTTCAGCGTCTTGACATATTTGCACTCTTGTAGGAAGAAGAGGGCAGACTCGGTATTGAGCCCTGTCAGTCTCACCTCTCCGTCAAAGCAGAGGGCGTGTCGTGATGAGGGGAGGGTGTCGTCACTGCGGACGCGCAAGTACCTATTTTGTCCCTGGAGATCATAGAGGGAGAACAGGCTCAGCCGCGGCGCCATCTCGTGGATTGCGCAAAGGAGCTCCGAGATATCCATGGTATAGTGCTCCGGGAAGGGAAGACGTGAGGGATTTCCGAAACCAGCGTCGCACAAGCACTCCTCAAAGGATGGTTCATAACGAATGCAGAGACGTCGAACGTGCTCCGCGAGCCTGCTGTTAGGTCTCTTGATATCGGCGACGAAGTCTGTCAAACGTCTTGTGCCCACATTGATTTGAGCGAGGAAATAGGAGGAGCATCTGTACGACCATGTCTGAGATACGAGCGTGCAACTGATGAGAGCAGCTCTGTCTGCGTAAAGCGAATCGATGATGTGATTTACGAGTTTTTGAGGTAGAGGTGGGGGCCTTTTCTGATGCTCGACTCGTTGTTAGGAACCTTGCCCTTGAGGGACGACGTTGGGATACCTACCGTCGCCTCAGTGCTTTCAAGTCTATAAAAGGTTTGTTAACGCAACTAGAGCCACCAGAAGAAATATCGACTCAAACCTCAGATCTCGGACAAACTGAGACAGTTTAAACGTCCACAGCATTACAGCGAGAACCCTTCTTAGCGTCAACTCGTGCCATGCTTGCAGGCCGGTATACATAGTACGCGCTGGAGCGCTTGGAGGCGGTACCTCTCGACGACAGGCACCGATTCGACTGTCGATATGCATCGCAACCGCTAAATTTCCGCATAGCATATGCAGCAACGTACGTCGGAGCTCATGCTGCTCCAGGGAGTCGGACCTAGCCCGCCCCGACATTGCAGCTTCTCTGTCCTTATTACACTCAGTGTTTCACAAGTCGCCTCACAGCTCGAGCAATTATCATTCGCCCGCGTCTGTAGGCACCGTATGTAAACCTGCTCCGCGCAAACTTACCTTTTCCTCTTTTGCTTACATAATATGTTATCTTTCTTCTTTCAGTAGCTCTTGTAGTTCTCTAGCTCGCACCACCATCATGTATGAGTACAGTTCGCCCTCGTACATTCTGAAATACAGCGTGGTTTGCACAGCTTGTCGGACTGTGTGACCCCAGTATTCTATGCCCGGCCAGCAGGGTTCCAGCATAGTAGTCGACCTTCAGGCCGCAGAGGCCTTCTCCAGGGATCTTACGGATTAATATTACATGAAGATGTTCATTTGTTTTGCACGTTTATATACTAATATGGGAGGAGCATCCAGGAACATTTTTGTAACCGAATCCAAACTTGGGATTGTACGTACTTGCCCAAGGGGGGTCTGCGATTCAGATCTACGGAAACAGGATTGCTAGGAAGCGCTGGAGGGACCCCAAAAACCACCTCGCGTAGCGGCTAGAGCGGCGACTAAGCGGCGGACAAAAGCAGGCTGCGATAGTACCGGCCATATACGAAGAGCTGGGTAATGTGCATACTAAGTAAGATAAATATGTGCTATGTAAATCCATTATACGACTACGCAGCTAGCCAAGTGTTGAAGTAGCAAGAGGGCAGGTGAGTGATGTATTCAGGTCAGTATATACAAAGGGATGCGGGTGACATGATAAAATAGCTCCTGGACAAGAAGAGAAGCCAACTGCAGCGCTGCACGCATGAGTCTGGCACAGAATATATATTTGATATGTCCAGGAGATAAATACTTGACAGAAATAACAAGTATCAGCTGGCAGCATAGTACAAGACTATTGAGAGTATTCACCTTGGACTACGCGAATGTGCGGAGTTTGAGATTGCGCGCACTTGCAAGCTGTAACGCACAATACCAAGCAAGTGATGTAGAAACCGGGCTTGATGTCTGCTTCGTCGTGAACCCTCTTTCTCTGTGGTGGTGGTCATGGCGGCGTACTAGGGTCCTGACGCAGAGACAGCTGCCTAGATAAGTCGTTATAATGCATGAGTGTTGTGGGCAGCCTACTAAGTACACGGGAAACGCTATATGATTACTGGAAGGGTAGAATACGAGGCGAAAATGATAACCTGTCAGGAGCTTGTTCATGTAGACTGTAGAGCTCCGGCCGAGTCGTTAATGTTGCCTTCATGGACAAACTGCCACTAAGACAGATTGTGGCAGGCATTGCTGGCCATGGGATTACACTGTCCAGTCAACGGACCACCCAGGCAACCTGACCACGAGCACGGCGACTCGAGCGACGATGAAGAGGGAGCCAGTCGGGCTTCACGCTTCAGGTGGCTCCAGCGCCGTACAGGCTTCTTTGATGAAATTACTACATATAGGATAGTGCCTGAAGACCCCGAAACCCAGACCCCCTGGGGTTTTCAAGTTGATTTCAATTAGATCGAATCGCAGACCCCCTTTGTACTTGCCGATAGTCTCCCGCACAGGATCTTTGTAGTGCAAGGGCGGTGATCAGAGCTACGATACGATGACTGTATTGTACCGGCGAGATTAGTAGAGAGATCATCGGGAAGGTACAGCTATTATACCAAGGTTATGTTTGTGTAGAATTTTGAATTGCCGCATCTACTGTTATTACGTCTTTCCCAGCCATTCTGTCAAAGCAACCATATCCCGATATCTCGTTGGTATGCTCGTCAACACTCTCGTCTGCGTTTCCATTGTCAAAGGACAGCCTATCCTCAGCTCCAAACACTCAAAGCTCGGCAAATTGGTGACGATATCGAATAGCTTCTCCCAGTCACTCCGGGCAACTTTGTATCTTAGGACAGAGACACAGTCCCTGTGGACGCCGACTCGGACGCGCCTCAAGGCCGTAGGCGCGTTCGCGAGCACAGATGAAACGAGGAAGTTCCAATCCTGCCCAGCCGTGCACCATTAGTACCCAAAAAAGAGAAAAATTCGATAGAAAGGGAAACCCACTTCGTGGCATGTCATCGGAAGTTCCACAAACTGCAGCGCTGTAGAGCTACTTAGGGCCGATAAGGCATCTTTCGCTGGTTTGCATTAGGTAAGTCACTGAGTAAAGAGGAAGTAATGGAGCTTACTCGCACCGACTATACTCATAGGCTTGTCTCTGGTCCATATGAGCCGGATGGATCGTAGCGCATGGTTTGTCGAGGCCACAAACGTATTCAGGCGGGCAAGATTGGCCGCACAATCCCCTATGGCAAACACGACCTCAATCTTCCCCAGACGCGAGGGTGCCGCCAGGAGCGGACCCAAATATTTGAGAAACGTCATGTCTCCAAAGACGGTAAACGCATCGACTTGGAGGTCTCTGGCCCCCGTGACGATCGACGACATAAGGTATGGAGGCACGCAGCATCTGTCGATGCTCAGCGTCTTGACATACCTGCACTCCAACAGGAAGAAGACGACCGACTCGGCGTTGATTCCCGTCAGTCGCACCTCTCCGCCGAAGCAGAGAGCACGCCACGGCGAAAGGAGCGTGCCGTCGCTGCGGACGCGCAAATACCTGTTCTGTCCAAGGGGATCGGAGATGGAGAACAGGCTCAGCCGTGGTACCATCTCTCGGATCACGTAAAGAAGTTCCGAAATATCGATACTGTAAGTCTCTGGGATGGGAAGGCGCGGGGGGTCACCGACACCAGAGGCGTACCAGCTCTCATCGGGTGGTTGGTAATAGATGCAGAGCCGCCGAACGTGCTCCGCGAGCCTGCTGTGAGGTCTCTTGACGTCGGTAATGAGGTCTGCCAGACATCTGGTGCCCACGTCAATCTGACCGAAGATGTAGGAAGAGCTTCGGTATGACCATATTTGAGATACGAGCGTGCACTTGGCGAGGGTAGCTCGGTCTGCGTGAAGCAGGTCTATGATGCGGTCCACGAGTTCTTGAGGTAGCGGCGGCACCCTAGACGAACTTGTCTGCTCCATTTGGGGCATAGCAGCGTCGAGGTCATCAGGGCATGCGGGCCTGTCTACTTTCTAAACGTTCAAGTTGACGTGTGGTTAGAAGCTGTATGCTTGAGGGACAGTGCTGGGACACGTACCGTTGCTCGAGTCCGCTCAAGTCTGAAACAGTCTGTTACCGCGACAGCTCGGACCAGGAGAGATACCGACTCAGACCTTAGGTTTCGGACAAACTGCAATAACCTGGACGTCCGCATCATTGCAGCGAGGATTCTCAACTTCAGTTCATGCCGTCTTCGCAAGCTGATATACATATGTACGGGTTAAAGCGCTGGGAGACACTGCCTCCGAGCCCACCGTGACGGTGACAGGCACACTGAGCTTGCCGCTGTCAATGCACACAGCAAATGCCAGATTCCCGCACGGCATGTCGCGCATGTCGGGGCTTATGCTGCCCTAGCCTGATCCGCCTCCATTCTTACTGCGTCCGGCGCTCCCAAGGGCGCTCCACAACTCAACTCATAACTCCCGTGCCTGTAAACACCTGAGCAAGGCCTGCCTCAGAAACTCGCATCTAGCTTACTCCGGATATCTTATGGGATGAATATCATATGGGATCTTCATTTGTTTTACACGGTCACACACCAATACAGGGGAAATTCGGGACACATTTCTGACTATTTCAGCAACCCGTACTGGGGACCGTACTTGTCGATGATCTTCTCTACAGGATCTTCGCGCAGTGCAAGAGTGACGATCAAGGCCACGATGGCGATCACGATACCTATACCAGCAAGATCTGCAGAGATTCTATCAGGGAAACGTCTCAGAACGACGTAAGCCAAACTCACACATGCCGATCGTCCCAGCGAGAGCAGCGACCTTGACAGCAGCGCCGATAAAGGAGGCGACCAGCTGAATTGAGAATGCAATAGTAGTCAGGGCGGCAATGGCAAGCTGCGCGCCCGCAAACCACTTGTCAACGGTGCGTCCTGTCTTCATCGTTTTCTTGAACTCCTCTACACTTGCGTACAAAGTGATAACGGACACGATGAAGCCTGGTAGTTGTATTGAGAATGCAACAAGGAGCAGCGGAACGCAAGACTCACCGAATGCCATGGCTACCCCTTTGCCGATGCTGCAACATGTCTGCGTCAGACAAGTAGGCAGGAAATGGGTTGCAGTACTCACCGTGCCCAGAGGCGCTCAGCAAATCCGGTCACTGCGTTCACAGCTTTCTCGCCGAAAGCCTTCGCTGCGCTGATCCAACTCAACGCGCGACTAGGAAGTAGCTTCCTGAGACCCCATCCAAGGCCCTTCGCGAGCCAGGTCGAGATCCAGGCGACGAACTTGAGGCCCTTGAATATGGATGTCCTAGTCTGCACCATGGCGTCGACCAAAGAGGTATACATGCTGAGTTGCTCCGCCACACTGAGCTTGCCCTGGCCCTCAAGGAGGGTCTTGGACAGGAAGCCCGCACCAATCATGACAACCGCGGGACGTACGGCGGCTCTGAGCGCGGTCTTGCCCTTCTGCCACATCTTCGGCCAGAACCCCTTGGCTTCCTGACGGGAGATGACGGTGGTGAGCTCGGCCAGGGATGGTGTACGGTTGAGCAGCTTGGCGTGGTCATCGATGCCTGCGACGAGAACCTTCCCAAACTCGCTCCAGGTGCTGAATTCGCGATCTTGCAAGAGGTCCTGTAGCTTCGCATACTCTTCAGATTTCTTCTTCATCGGATCTTTGTCGTAGTCATCGAGTTGCGCGAAGAACTGTCCACTATGTCACTTCACCAATCCGACCGAAAGCTGTGACCGCTCACCTCCTTGATATTGTTCGCATGCTCATCGTTCCACATCACACCGTCCAGCAGCGCGAATGTGACCACACCGTGCAGATCAGTGATGATACGATCAACGCTGAGTGCGTCCCCAATATCGCCGGCCTCCTCCTGCAGAATCTGGAGCTTGTTCTGCCAGTCGAAAATGTCTTGAGTGATCTTGGTGTCGGTCGACTTCACCCTTTGCCTCAGCTCCATGACGTGGGACTGGGACACTGGGAGGATGAGGTCAGCATTGTTGTTTCAGCAACGCTTGAAACGACTTGCCGAGGTAGTTGGCGAGACGACTGTACCACTCCTTGGCATTGTCCAGGAACGGCTGGAAGGAGTTAATCGCACGGACGTAACCCAGACGGTAGCAGGCTTGGGCGGCGCTGCGATACTGGGACTGGAACTTGGTGACCGTGCCCTTGTCCTTTTCGCGATCCCAGCCCCAGGCCTTGACATAGTCCGTTTCACCTTCTTTGGGTATGGTAAATGCAGCGCAAGCAGGTATGTATGCATCGCATTTCGCCTTGTTGATGCGATCGCGCTGTTTCTGGGGGACGTCCTTCGAGGCTTGAAGATGGGTCATGATGTTCACGATGCCCGCACGCTCGAAGAAGTCCTGAGCGGAGTCTTTAATCTTCTTCTCGGCCGCGTCGAGCTGTTGAAGGTCGGGGTAGAGCATTTGTTTGACATCGTCAGGGGCGCTGTGAAGAATGATCTATCGGCATATTCAGTAGGTGTATATGTATCGTTCGTAGATATTGCGACTTACCCGAGCGAATATACGATCGCCCTCCGTCTGTGCCAAGTCCTTTCTCACAGTTTTCCCCTCGACTTCTATGGACTGCGAGGACAAGCTCGTAATGGCCAGGAGGTTCGGGAGACTGTTTCCGTCTGGAGCACGCTCAGGCCCTCCGATGACGGTGCGGTTGCGGGTCCTCATGGTCTTGAACTGCCCCCTCCACTCGTACTTCTTTCCGTTCTGCTCCCATAGGCCAGAGAAGGTACGATCCTTGTCCTCAACGGCGCTGATCATCGTGATGCGGAAAGTATAGTCGAGCTTTTTGTCAGACGGGTCGCCTTCGGTCTTGATGAGGACGATATTGTCACCCCGCTCGAGAGTCGTACCCGAGGTGATATCTACATCATTTACGTAGCACTGACCGGAGGTTACCGAACATGGCTTGTGAGAAATAGTATGAGAAACTCACAATTACAGGCGCAGCGTCACTTTCTTCGACGCTCCACTCCAGGGAATACCACGGCGTCCAGTCGTCGTCGTCGTCGCTTCCCTGCTTGCGGCGTTCGGTCTTATATTCCATCATCGTGAGATCCGCCGAGATCTCCTTCTCAGAGCTAGTCCTGCCAAGCCTCAGTGAGCTAGTCCTGCCAAGCCTCAGTGAGCTATTACTGAATAAGAGGAGGCAGGTTACGCACGGGGTCCCAGCCGCCAGAAACATGAAAGGTGAAGCCGAGATAGTAGACATCATCGGTATGCTACGACAAGATCTCAATTATACGGTTTCCCGCGATGCCACGAAGATGTACACACCCAGTTGCGCCCAGGAAGGCAGAGCTATAAGCAGGGGGAGCACCGGCACCCTCGTCCGCCTTCAACGATGGCGGAAGCTTAGCCGAGCCTGTGACGACGACACGATCGCCATTGCGACGTGTAACGGTCCCGATCAGCTCGCGACAGTCTTCAGAGAGGGACCTGGCAAGTAGAGTGAGCAATGCGGCTGCACAATCAAAACGAGACCGCCCACAAGTGGCCTTCACAGAGATGGGCAGTCGAAGAGACCCAGCCAACGCTGTTGCCGACGTCGTTCCAGAATACCTCCGAGATCTGCTGGTCGTTGACGCAGAGCGAACCGGCAGAGGCGTCGAAGAGGACATGGCCGAGGGGCGACTGGTCGATGAACTCTTCGGTGAAGGCGTCGCAGGATGGCCTGAGCTCGAAGATCTGAGTGCCAACTCTGGTAGTGAGAGGGATAGAATCAGAAGGGGTTTGAGTATCAGCCATGGCCGGCGAAGCTTGGTAAAGCTTTGAAGCCTGGATGGCTTAATCGCGACGATCATGTATGTTTTTATATGCTGGACGAGCGCGGTAGGCGGAGCAGATTGGACGTTGTTCGGTCCATTGCACTCGTCGAATGCAGAACGAGGCAGAGGGCAGGAGTATCAGGTGGCCCCTCATGCGGAGCGCACCTGTCAAAAGTCGATGTGGCGTCTCGACGTTCGCCAAAAGCGTCGCAGGGGGTCTTGATCGTTATCGCGAATGTCATGATGAACTGTCAGTCGTCGATTGTAGACCAGGGTCGTCTGTCGGCTTTTTATCCACTCCGCTCATGTTTCGCATGCGTGACCCATCCATTCTGTCGTGCGTGGGTCACCCCTTCATCTTCTCACCAAGCGACGTCAAAATGGAATACACGCACATTTACGACAACGATGGATGCCGCACTTTCAAAAGACATAAATTGAGTCCGACGACCGACTAGGGACGTCAGAACGATCAGAGATGTCTCGACCTTCTACCCAACACTTGCGCGATCTCGCTTCAGGGGCTGACCGACCGCGCTATGCTCAGGAAGCTATCCAAAGGGTATGACTGACTCCTACATGCTCTAATTAGTCCTCATATAACATCGGTGCAGATCATGACTTTCGGCTTACCACCGTATGAGCGCGAGCAATTCTTTCCAAATGCCTACGTCCGCCCCGAGGAGGCAGATATCATCTCTCGCTCTCCCGACTTCGTGGACCGGGGCTCTGTACATCTCCTCATGCAACGCTTAGCACAAAACTCAAAGGTCGCGCACGACGTCCGCTCCAAGATCAACGCCAACAGGGCAGCTCTCTTTTTCCCGGCCTGCGTCCAGCGTAAGCCCCCTCCGAGCACGCAGCCAGATCCTGTCGTCGAGTATGGCTGGGACCGTACGCGCGACAAGGATCTCGTCCAAAACATGCAGGACCAGTGCGCGCGGCTCTTCTTGGAGTGCGACCGCCTCGCTTTCATGGCGGCGACTCCGGAGATGGCGCAGTACTGTCGCGACCAGCCTGCCGACTGGTACCAGCGTCTGACGAGCCATCTCACCTCCCCCACGTACAAGATCGACCTAAAGGCCAAGATGAAGGCCGGTATCGAACCGGTCCGCGACCTGCTTTCGAACCTCTTCACAAAGCTTGTCATCCTGCACGAGGCGGCGGGCGGGGACGCTGCGGGTCCAAAGCCCCAGGATGTGATGGGAGAGCTCTGCACACGAGTGGGTATCCCCGCTCTCTCCGAACTGGACCTGAATGATGAGGCCAAGGAGGAGATTCGTAACGTGAGCATCTTCCAACGAACTTCATTCTTAACATGCGGCTGACCTATTGCTTCAGTTACTCGAGTCCATTCGCGACGGAGCGAAGCGCGACGCGAACCTTGATTTTCAGTTCACTCTGTATGGTGTGATGCCTCTGGTATTCCGTTTAGACATTATTGCAGCCTTCGACAATGCGCTTGATATCGTGAGTTCACTGAAAGGCCTGTGGGCAGTCATTCCGAGTCCTGCGGCAATGGTGCTCCCAGTATGTCCCATACTCTTTGGCTCCAAAGCTCCACGCTCTAACAAGTTTCGTTCAGGGACTGGCTTGGCTGCGTGATAAGTTCGTGGAAGGTCAGGTGGCTGAAAGAGTGACGATGCTGGGACGGCGAACTGGACGGAAGTATGGTCTGTGGTATGATTAAATGGTGAAGATCGAGGAGCGAAGACACGGGTTGTGTTGTGTTAGTGTCCTAAGTAGATGTAAGATACTGTACGGGTTGTGCACACTGCACACAGCACTTGCTTGGCCGACCATGCTGGCGCCCTTGTCATAGCTACCGCGGTTATTGCGACATGTCCCAAATATGCACACGGGTAAGCTTTGACCGCCCTGAAGACCTGAAGTCTGATGGCTCATTGTGTCGCGAGTGAAGAAAGGATGTTCAAAGGTTAGGCGCTCCCTGCCGGCTTTGTGCTTCGGCGCCTGCGCGCGCGACGGTTGCTATACACGGCATAATCTCGGGCATCCCCGACATTGCTTCTTCGAACCGGTTTGCGCCTCTCAGTGCACACAACATGCGGAAGGTTTCTGCATCGTAGTGCTAGCATGTTACTCATATAACGTTCTAAGATTATCGTCGTGTAACCCTACCAATCTGAGTGCATTCGAAGTCTTGTTTGAAATTTCAACGTTGGATCAGTACGTGTTCTCACTTCACGGCGTTTGCTCAGTATTATTTGCCCGTGTCCCGAGCCTATCGTCAACTGATCTGCTGTGCTATGGGCATCTCATGGAGTGAACTTTGTTCATGTATCGTACCTATTTACCACTGAAATCTGAGAGACTCGCCAAAAGCGTCGCAGGGGGCCTTGCTTGTGATCGCCAATATATTCTGCTCACGCTTTGCATGATACTACGAACACTACCTCAACATACTCTGCCATGCACTGTGAGAGAACGTTAAGGCTGCACACACCTGAATCATGATGGCGAGGGACAACACGGCGGCTGGCGCCCGGTGGGTTGACCTCGCTATTGCCCTTGCCGTTGGCCACGACAGTATTTTCGACTTTCACCAGGTATACATAGATGGTCTTGGTTGTCTGTACCGGATAACTCATCGTGCAGAATGCCAGACAAACCGTCAAACGACGTGTCTCCGTCCCAGCCCCCCAGCAACCTCGTCTCGACCTCGCTTGCCTCTGCGTCTTCACTCGTCCTGCTCCAGCTGCTCTCCAGGGTATTCACTTTCGTCCTCAACCAGGCTCTCGTTCGGCTCGTGACTCCCCAAGTATTCGGCACAGCGTCGATACAGTTCGAACTCCTTCTCTCTACTATCCTCTTCCTATCCAGAGAAGGCGTCCGCAATGCCCTCCTTCGCTCGACGGCGAACAAAGCGCAACCCAGGCAGTCCGCCCTCACGTACAACATCTCCCTGTTACCAGTACTCCTCGGTATACCAGTAGCTGTCACGACTGTCTGCATATATCTGTTTTCGAGCTCTTCCACGACCTCGTCGCAGCCTCGCTTCCACCTCAGTGCGATCATCTACGCGCTGGCCGCGTTCTTCGAGCTGCTCTCAGAGCCCTTGTATATCCGCGCTCAGAATGAGCTTCGCTTCGATGTTCGTGTGAGAACGGAAGGTTCGGCCGTGCTCATGAAGACCGTGGTCACTTTCCTTACTCTCGTGGCGCTGTCGCCAGAGTGGGCTCTAGCTGCGTTCGCCGCCGGACAAGCAGCATATGGCCTTACGATGCTGGTAGGATTTTTCAGAGCGTATGAGTTCAAAGCGCGGTACTGGCCGGAGAAGGTTGTGACCGAGGTGCATGGCAAGTGAGTGTCCTGTCTCGCATCGCCTGCCCGGTCCTGACCTTTCGCAGCACTAAGACCCAGTACTTCGACTCCGAGCTGTTACACCTCTCCGCGGCCATGACTGGACAATCGGTAGTTAAGCATTTCCTAACAGAAGGCGACAAGTTCTTGGTCTCTCGTTTGAGCCCTCTGGCGGACCAGGGCGGATACGCGGTAGCCTCCAACTATGGTATGCAAGGCCACTTTTCGGCGCATACATGCACCTCAACGTTTATTTTTAGGGTCTCTCGTTGCCCGTATTGTCTTCCAGCCCATCGAAGAAACGTCTCGACTATTCTTCTCGAAGACACTGTCATCGACGAGCACGAACAAGCCCGACCTTCTACAGATCGCCTCCAACGTGCTCATGGTCCTCCTCCTCCTGTTCACGCACCTCTTCCTCCTGCTCGTGACATTCGCGCCGCCATACCTGGCCCTAGCCCTGCGACTTGTGCTGCCTTCCCGATATCTGCAGACCTCTGCTCCCGCGATCCTGCGCACGTACATCTACTACATCCCAACGATGGCCTTCAACGGCATCCTCGAGGCATTCTTCACCTCCACGGCCACGCCCGCCGACCTGCGTGCGCAGAGCCGGTGGCTCCTCGTCTTCTCTCTGGGCTTCGTAGGCACCGCGGCTGTATTCGCCAGTGGCCTCAAGATGGGCGACACGGGGCTGGTGTGGGTCAACGTGGCGAACCTCTGGATGCGGGCCTCGTATGCGTGGATGTTCGCCGTTCGATTCTTCAGCCGGCAAGGCGCGGGCCAGCTAGTGCACTGGCGCAAAGCAGTGCCTCCGTTCAAGGTCTTACTCTTCTTTGCGGTCGCTGCGGTTGTGACGCGGTGGAGTGAGGTAACACTTGGTCGTCGGGCGCTGACCCTTGGTGCGCAAGTGCCTCACGTCCTTCTTGGCGCGACATGCGCTTTGGCGTGTCTCCTCGCTTGGTGAGTCGTTCTGTCTGTACCGCGCCATTTGCAAACCTGACAGAAATGACAGTGCTCACTGGGAAAGGAGAACGTTTAAAGAAGTGTACTCCCTACTGCGCAGACGGTGAGGACTGTCCGTCGTTGCTGAACATATCCTACGGCGTATCCTACATAATGAACTTTGGTGTTGTGATTTTGCGAGTCAGAATGAACGTTCAAAACTCTTCCCCACTCAGCCACTTCCGAAGCAGCTCCAGCGATTCTACCGGCATATCGTATGGCACCTATATGTGCAAAAAATGCACATGAGAAAGTGTGCAGCGCTTCAGATTGCGGGTACTCACCATATGCCCAGCGCCGTTGATAGTCGCAAACGCAAAGTTGCCGGCGCTGCGAGTCAAACCCGCGACGTGGCCGTCAACATGCCACTCTCTAAGAGGCTGGCTGCTGAACGCTGCCTGCCCGGTCCACTCCAGAGCCAGCGACATCTCTTCGTTGCCGCGCTAGTTCGCCGACGCACAGGCGCTTCGTCAGCCCGAACCCTCACTACCGCGAGCAACGCTCACTGACCCAGTTGCAGACAAAGTCGTTCGCACCGACGTACAGCAGCACGCGCACACTGCGCTCCAGGAGCGCCGCGATGTAGTATTGCGTGGGGAACTGCGGGTCGAGCGCGCTCCAGAATGCATGGTTGACGAGTTTAGAGTGGCCGGTGTAGTTCTTCACCGCCGGATCAGCACCGATGAGCTCGCGCACGCTCGTCTGGTTCAGGTACTTCTCGATGTCGCTAGGATATGCGGTCAAAGGCGTTGGTCTGGCGCGAAGCAAGGGTAGACGTACTCCATAATCTTATAGCATAGCTGGCTCCCGTCGCTGAGCATCTGTCAACGGCCGCACAGCGACGTAAACCGATGCTGGACATACCACTTCTTTGTGAGATCATAGGGATTAAGTCCTGACGCAGCCGTTGAGTCGCGGATTATCGTGAGAGCAAGTTTCTCACCTATCTCCGTGTAAGGTGTGGTGATAGATTCTGCACAGAATGCGCTCGCGGCTGAACAGCTGATGCTATCTTTCTGGTCAATGCAGGCTTCCTTGTACCACTTCTCGCAGCGCGGGAGCTGTGAGATGGCATTTCAGTCGCTGAGACATAGAATGAATTAATGATTACGCACACGCAACCTCATATCAATGCAAGTTCTATAGAGAGGAATCGTCAGAGAGAACGAAGAGCAGGGAGATGAGGCCATACGCTATGTTTTGCACAGGCGTAGTGGTCACACTGGTGCATTGAACCTCGTAGTGCCCCTTGTGCATTGAAAGCCAGTCAGTACATCCATTTCCTGTGTGTATTGAGGGGTAGGTGACTTGGTGTTAACTCGAAGGATGCACGTCTGCCTACCAATCATGACAGACTTCAGGTTGATAGGTGTTAAATCCGCGCCTGACAACTTCGTGTTTTGGTCATGGATCGCAGAACCAAACAGGGGGAGATAGCGACCCTATGGCACCAGATGCGCATCAGCTGCCCCTCGTAGTCCTTAATCTATACAAGCTTACTCCATAAGACTCGCCAGTAAGATGAAAGCCTCTGCCTTTGAACTTGTTGAAATGTTCAAAGAAGATTGCCACAAAAGCAGCGACATCCTTCGCAGCCTCTTCGGTAGTGCTCTACATGCAGGTGTTCAAGTTAGCTCATTATAATGTACTATCTTGACTTACCACAGTCTCTCCATGGTCAGCATACGAGAAACCGACACCAATTGGCTGGTCGATGAAGAATATATTGGAGTACTCATTCCACGAATAGGGATTGAAAGAGATATTCGTGGGACTGGTAACCCTGCAGGGACCGAGCTCCATAAACAGACCGGTAGAGGACGACCCGCCAGGTCCACCGTTGGTCCAGAGGAGCACGTCATCACGATCGGGGTCGCGTCTGCTTTCGAAGAAGTAGAAGAACAAGTGCCTCGCTTCGATGTCGATGTATCCTGTGTACGCGCTGAACAAGCCAGACGCGTCAGTGCAGTATTGCCGCAGCACGAAAGTGCATACTTGCGGTACCGTCGC